CATATTTCATGTTTTAGTTCTTCTGTTTTTGTCTCGCTTTGTCTATGAAGACATATATATAAAAAAAAGGCCCCAAATGCTTCCATTTCCCCCTTACAGCGCAACCAGAGGTTTGGTCGGGTCCCCCAGCCCTCATTTCCGGCTCCAAACTAGAGATGCCTTCGGCAGGCCCTCTGATTTTTGGAGGGCCGGGGGCGAAGCGGTCAGCTCTGATTGAAAATTCGGGGCTTCGCGTTAAAGGTATGCATGGGGAAACCTCAGAGGGAAAAAAATCACAAATCCACTCAGGCGGATTTCTGACCACCTCTTACTTATAAATCCAGTCCTTTCTGATCTTTATTTATATGGATTTCTTGAACCTACTCAGATGATTATTGAATCCCTACACCAAATGCGTCGAACTTGACTTTTGTGCGTGTTTTGTTGTGTTTGTCGTTTTTGCTTGTTTTTGCTCAGTGTTCTATATGCTTTTATTGTTTGTATGACTATGTTTTCATACTGATTACAAATATAAATCCAACAAAACCCTGCAACATATGTGTCAAATTTGATTTTGGTCTTTGTACTGCTGTTTTCCTGTTTTGGTTTGTGTTTGCTCAGTGTTTTGCATATTTTCTATTATGTGTGTGAGCATTGTTGCATATTCAATACACAGCAAAACCCCAAAACAATCCCTGCACAACATCTGTCAAACTTAATTTTTGCGTATATTTTGTTTTTGTACACAGAAGATTTGCCCGTCTGTATCTCTTACTCTTGGAGAAGAGGTGACCGTCTGCATCTCATGCATTTTTCAGAAGAAGAGCCCATCTCTTAGAGTGTTGAGAAAAGTGCCCCAGACCCTAAACTCTTAAGAAGAGCTGCCCGTCCGTATCTGTGTATTAAAGTGTTGAGAAGAAATGCCCCAAACCCTAAACTGTTGACAAAGGCTGCCCGTCTGTATCTCTTGAAATGCTGAGAAGAGGTGCCCGTCTGTATCTCTTCAAGTCGGAGAAGAGCTGGCCGTCTGCGTCTTTTACATTTTTGAGAAGACGTGCCCGTCTGTATCTCTTGAAGTGTTCAGAACAAGTGCCCCAAACCCTAAACTGTTGACAAAAGGTGCCCGTCAGTATTTCTTAAAGTGCAGAGACAAGGTGCCCGTCTGTATCTCTTAAAAAGTTGGAGAAGAAGTGCCCGTCTGTGTCTCTTGCATTTTCGACAAGAGATGCCCGTCTGTATCTCTTAAAGTGTTGAGAAGAAGTGCCCGCCTGCATCTCTTAACGTTGGAGAAGAGGCGGCCGCCTGTATCTCTTACATTTTTGAGAAAAGGTGCCCGTCTGTATCTTTGCAAGTGTTGAGAAGAGGTGCCCGTCTGTATAGGCACCGTGGTTGGGGGCTTCTCTATAGGACCCTGTCGTTGTCGGGGCACGCAAAGTCCCCCTGCTCAGTGTTCTGAATGATTTTGTTATATGTGTGAATATGTTCTAATGCTTATTACAAATAAAAACCCAACAAATCCCTACACCATGCGTGTCAAACTGTATCTCTTGATTAAAGTGCAGTGCCCCAAACCCTAAACTGTTGACAAGAGGTGCCCGTATGTATCTCTTAAAGTGTTGAGAAGAGGCACCTGTCTGCATCTCTTAGAGTTGGAAAAGAAGTAGCCGTCTGTATCTCTTACATTTTTGAGAAGAGGTGCCCGTCTGTATCTCTTAAAGTGTTCAAAAAAAGTGGCCCAAGCCCTTTAAAGTGCAGTGCCCCAAACCCAAAACTGTTGACAAGAGGTGCCCGTATGTGTCTCTTAAAGTGTTGAGAAGAGGCACCTGTCTGCATCTCTTAGAGTTGGAAAAGAGGTAGCCGTCTGTATCTCTTACATTTTTGAGAAGAGGTGCCCGTCTGTATCTCTTAAAGTGTTCAAAAGAAGTGGCCCAAGCCCTAAACTGTTCGGAGCTGACGCCCGTCGAAGTGCAGAGAAGAGGTGCCCGTCTGTATCTCTTAAAGTTGGAGAACAGGCGGCCGTCTGTGTCTCTTACATTTTTGAGAAGAGGTGCCCGTCTGCATCTCTTAAAGTGTAGAGAAGCAGCGCCCCCCTGCATCTCTCAACGTTGGAGAAGAGGTGGCCGTCTGTATGTCTTACATTTTTGAGAAAAGGTGCCCGTCTGTATCTCTTAAAGCGTTGAGAAGAGCTGCCCGTCTGTATACGCACCCTGGTTGGGGGCTCTATAGGACCCTGGTGTTGTCAACCCTCGAAAACCTCGCGCATACCATGCTTGGGGGCTTGCCAGATCTTTATTGATGTGGCTTTGTCGAACCTACTCTGATGATTATTGAATCCCTACACCTGACGCGTCAAACTTGACTTTTGCGCGTGTTTTGTTGCTTGTATCTTTTTGTTTGTTTTTGCTCAGTGTTCTGTATGAGGTTGTTATATGTATGAATATGTTTAAATACTTCATAAAAATAAAAACCCAACAAATCCCTACACCATATGTGTCAAACTTGAGTTTGGCCTTTGTACTACTGTTTTCCTGTTTTGGCATGTGTTTGCTCAGTGTTTTGCATATTTTCTATGTGTGTGTGAACATTGTTGAATATTCAATACGCAGCAAAACCCCAAACAATCCCTGCGCCACATGTGTCAAACTTCATTTTCACGTTTATTTTGTTTTTGTGTTTCTTCGTTTTTTACGTTTCACTGACCTGATTCTTGGCGTGGGAGGGGGCGGCGGAAGGGGCTTTAATAACGACGTTCTACCACGCACTACACCACAACTGCATCGTTCAGAGTCGTTGGAGTCCCAGAGGGAGATCCTGAGAATACGAGATTTGCGAGCGCAGGAATTTGCTCGCAATCAGAGTCTGGCTGTCTCTTGGAGTCCCGGAGGGAGCTCCTGAAGATACGAGGTTTGGGACTGCAGCTATTTGCTCGCAGCTGTTTTCTGCCTATCTCTTCAAATCTTGCGCGGCGGCTCAACAGGCTCTCACGCGGCTCATACGGCCACAGACACTACACAACAACAGCATCCACTTAAAGATATACGTTTCGAAGTGACAACGGCCATGGTTGAGGACTTGAGGAGATTTAAATTTTCAGAAATGCCGACCCGAAACGCCCCAGAGACCGCCCGGAACAGGCGCACTGGAAGCGTTTGGGCCGACGTTCCTGTTGCGGCCCGAACGTTGAGAACCTGGGAGATTTATATTTTCAGAAATGCCGACCCGAAACGCCCCAGAGACCGCCCGGAACAGGCGCACTGGCAGCGTTTGGGCCGACATTCCTGGGACGACTGCCCTAAACCATCAAGGCCTGGCGCTCCTGGAGTTCGATCGTCTTCACTGCGCTGATGGTGAGGCTCTGGACGGCGGCCACATCCTCTTCAAGCCCAAGCCATTCAACACTCGAAAGATTCAATGGGCAACAGAACCCTAAACCCTATATAACACCTTACACTCCCAAGCCTCTGTAACTTGAAGTTCTTCAAAGCTATAGAAGAGGAACCCCTCGAAACGCCCACAAAATCGTTTATTCATGTTTCTCCGGGGATCTTCCAATGTCTCCTTTACAGGACGATGTGGAAAAGCTTAGGGTTTCGGGTTTAGAGTTCAAGGGGTTTAGGATTTAGGGTTTAAGGCTTTTGTGGATGTGCTGCTTCAAGCTTCCCAGCCTCAGTACTCTTGGCCCGTCCCGTGCCCTGCCTCATGGCCGATGAGCCAGTCCACGCCGGTCGTCCCACGCACCGGCCTAAATGCTGGTGTTTAGGGGAACTCCCCAAGCCCAGCAGGAGTTTGGCTTTAAACAGTTCAGGAACTTAGGGTTTCGGGTTTAAGGTTTAGGGTTTTGGGTGTAGGGCTTAGGGTTTGGGTATAGGGCTTCCTGAGGCCTCAGCATGCCCTGACTTGGCGAACCCCGAACCCTCACAAGCACTGAATGCGGTTTTGGGTTTAAGGCTTAAGGTCTAGGGCTTAGGGTTTAGGATGGGAACCGTGGCAGAAGGTACTGGGGGAGAGCCTGGTGCATGCGGGCGTGTTTGCATTGGGGTTTGGAGGGAAGGGGAGGGGGGGGGTGCGGAATGTTTACGGTTTGGGCTTTCGGCTTTGGGATTTGGAGTTTAGAACCCAACCCTAACCCTGTATGTAAACCGCAGTGCTCCCCGCCTCGTTGCGTGCAGGCACCCAGCGCAGCACGCGTTTGGAAGTCCATGGCTCGGGATGCAAGCGAGCAAGCGTGAGTTCTGATAACGGTTTGCCAAACCATGAAAGCTGGAAGGGACGGGTGGGGACTGGAAGGACTGGTGGTCTGCAGACTCGCCTAACTTTGCGATCCCGGAATATGCTCTGTAGGCGGGCAGTGGCTCGTATGCCGCGAGAGGCCACGCAGCAGCTGGGCAAGTCTTAACGTTTCCTGTTTACCTTAAGGAGCCAAGAGCCCTATCTTGTTCCTTACAAAATTCTAGGGCAACCTGAGGCCTTTGGGTTCTTTGAGACAGGGTTTAGGGTCTAGGGTTTAGCGTTGAGGGTTTAGCATGGGGTTTGGGATTTAGGGTTTAGGATTTAGGCTTTAGGCTTTAGGGTTTAAAGTTTAGGCTTTGAGGTTTAGGTTGAGGGTTTGGAGTCGAGGCGAAGGCGAAACCAATGTGGCATTAGTGGGTCCGCCCTGCCCCCCCCCCCCCCCCTCCCGTAAACAGCGTGGCCTTTCACAACTCGGCATGTGCTCATACGGGCCAACCCCCTCCTCCAAGTCGCTTCCCTGCCCCTTCCCCAGTCCCCGCACGGCTCCGTCCTGTCCCTCCCTAGCCAGTCCTCGTTTACCAAACCTTGAAAGCTGGAAGGAACGGGTGGGGACTGGAAGGACTGGGGATCTGCAGAGTCATCTAACTTTGCGTTCCCAAAATATGCTCTGTAGAGGGGCAGTGGCTTGCATGAGCCCGAAATTCTTGATGCACCATGCTCGTGCTTGGAACTTTTCAGTGCTGAGCATCACGATCATGTAGCTTAAGTCTGCTGTGCTGATGTGCTTCACCTCACTGGTGACGATTCTCAAGTTCCTGCACCCGATCCTGTAGTTCGCAAAGGCGTTGTGTGACCGTTTGTATCCATGCACCCAGCATCTCCCGGAATTGAGCTGTCTGCTGAGAGGAACTGGACTCAGGAGTGGTTGATGCCGACCCGGTTGGTTGTGGATTTGCACCGAGAGGATCAGATTCATGACCAAGTTGACGTAAGCACTCCAGTAGCTGGTCAGCGGTGATGTACACATGCTCGTTGCCAGTAACCGCGGGGTTCACTTGTGGCTGGTCGGATCTTGGTTGTCTTGTCAAAGAAGTCTGCCACCATTGTGGGATGTAGGCGGAGCTGGAAGTGACCTCTTCGTGGTCGCAGGAGTTGGCCGCCATGGTTAATTGCGGCAACTGGGTGTGCAAGGAACACAACTGAGCACTGATGCCTGTGACCAATGCGAAAAAACTCACTAGAGCAGACTAGGAGGGAACCCTAGCTGAATGAAAAAGTCACAAAGTTGTAGGAGAGCTTGATCTTTACGTCTTTGGGGAAAGCAGTACGCGCGGATTTTATTTATTCACGACTTCGGTATCCGCTGAGGTTCAACTTGATGGAGCCACGAAAAATCTTGAATAAAAACTGTCCTAGACTGTGTAAACCCTACATGAAACCCTACAGGCCCTGCAGGAAAGCACACCCTAAACCACCCTAAAAACCATGGAGCCTCAACCCTAAAGGCGTGGCTCCTGCCTGCTGGACGCCCAAAAAATGCTTATGGAGTCCCGGAGGGAGCTCGGGCTGGCGTTGCACTTCTGGCTGTCAATGCTTATGGAGTCCCGGAGGGAGCTCGGGCTCGTACGGCCACTCCCCACCCTTCCCGTCCCAGTCCCGCCCCTTCCCGTCCCGTCCCAGTCCCGTCCCTTCCCGTCCCAATGAATTTCGTCTTTGGGGCCGAATTTCGTCTTCGGGGCCTCGGGGACGAATTTCGTCTTCGTCTTCGAATTTCGTCTTCGGCAACAATTTCGTCTTCGGGGCCTCGGGGACGAATTTCGTCTTCGTCTTCGAATTTCGTCTTCGGCAACAATTTCGTCTTCAGTGTTCCCTAAACGGAATTTCGTCTTCGTCTTCGAATTTCGTCTTCGGCAACAATTTCGTCTTCGGGGCCTCGGGGACGAATTTCGTCTTCGGGCCCGAATTTCGTCTTCGGGGCAGAATTTCGTCTTCGGGGCCTCGGGGGGCCTCGGGCACGAATTTCGTCTTCGTCTTCGAATTTCGTCTTCGGGGCCGAATTTCGTCTTCGGGGCTTCGGGGACGAATTTCGTCTTCGGGATCGAATTTCGTCTTCGGGGCCGAATTTCGTCTTCGGGGCCTCGGGGACGAATTTCGTCTTCGGGATCGAATTTCGTCTTCGGGGCCGAATTTCGTCTTCGGGGCCTCGGGGATGAATTTCGTCTTCGGAATCGAATTTCGTCTTCGGGGCCGAATTTCGTCTTCGGGGCCTTGGGGACGAATTTCGTCTTCAGGCTCAATTCCGTCTTCGGTACCGAATTTCGTCTCCGCGGCTGACTTTCGGGCCAAATTTAGTCCCGAAGACCAAATTTCCAGGAAAAATGTGTCTTCGTGCCGCTTTTCAAATTTCGTCTTCGTCTTCGAATTTCGTCTTCGGCAACAATTTCGTCTTCAGTGTTCCCTAAACCGAATTTCGTCTTCGTCTTCGAATGTCGTCTTCGGCCACAATTTCGTCTTCGAAATTCGTCTTCGGCAACAATTTCGTCTTCAGGCACTTGCAAACAATTTCGTCTTCATCGTCTTCGGAATTTCGTCTTCGCCCCCCCCCGGAAAAAGGGACCCAGTTTTCCGTGTCAATGCTTCGTATAATGAAAATACCGGCCAAAATCCGCCGAGGCTCGGGCCGAAGGTGTGGAGTCCCTGGAGCCTATGAGAACAAACACCCCACTCCAAATCCTCCTCCCAACCAAAGCCGATGGGTCGACCAACTGAAAGCGAACGGACGGTTCGCCAGGACCCGCCCAGCAGGCCACCCCGCCTGCCCCTGCCCCGCCCCCCCTGCCCTCCCTGTTCCCCTCCCCTCCCTGTTCCCCTCCCCTCCCTCTCCTCCCCCTTGCTTGAGGGTTTGGCTTGAACCTTGAACCCAATTCCAAAAATACGAAACCCCAAACCGTGAACCTTGAGCCCTAAGCCCTCAACCCTTAACTAACCCTCAACCCTAAACCCCAAACAATAACCCCGGAACCCTAAACCCTAAACCCAACCCTTATTACTTGGGGTCCGACTTGGGCGCTGCGGAATCACCATGCTCACGCGCATGCGCTGGGCCGGGCCGAGGCGGCTCGCGTAGCGTTAAAAATATATTGTTAAATCGACATTTTGAATTATTGAATCTCCTAATATCAACCATTTCCAAGTATCACCCATTCATGTATATAGTCTCTTGAGTATCCTTGACCTTCGGCCTGAGCCCCTGATGGATATCAATTGTACGCCATGACATAGCCATTGCTATTGCAAATCTAGCAATCTCTTCTGATATAATCATATTTTCGAGAACTTGATCGAATGAATCTCATATATTCTTCCAAGATATGACCTAAAAGAGGTTCCGTAGTTGGCGGAAGTGACCACATGAGCGATTTGCTTACGGCAACCGTTGAAGGTGTCCCGACTTCAACCTCCACTTAGGGCTTAGGGCTTTAGGGTTTAGGGCTTAGGGTTTAGGGTTTAGGGTTTCGGGTTTAGGGTTTAGGGTTTAGGGTTGTGATTCCCTGGCGCAATACTCCAGTTTTGCCCAAACGAAGTGAAGGCATGGTCCCAGGAGTAGATTGAAGATCTCCTCGTGTAAAGAATGCATTCTGGGTATTGGTGCGTTAAAGCGGCATGTATGACTCTGTGCCTCCTGCCCCCCCCCCCCCCCCCACCCCCCTTTGAATTGCGGAGACCTGAGATTCACTCGCTGGGAATTGAGTTTTGCGGCTTCTACAAGGGCACGGGCACGAAAGCCCGGCACCTCCCAAACAGAGTGATGGACCCCAAACTGTCCTAAGGGGTCCTTACATGAGCCACCGAGCCACCAGATTGAGCCACGAAGCGACGGATTGAGCCACTCACCCTTGGAGTTTTGCCAGTAGGGCTTAAGGCCTAACATGAGCCGCCACCGGATTGAGCCACCGAAAGACGGATCGAGCTACCCAGCCCCTGGGATTCTGCCAGCAGGGCATAAGCACAGAACCCCCGTCATTGCCGTAGCTCTGAACCTGAAGCCTCCCTGCAGACAAAACAACTTCAACTCGCTTTCCTTACAAGTGTGTCCTGGCCGCGCATGTGTCTTGGGTATAGGGTTTTTCATGCCACTGCCTCGTAAGAGTCTGAACGACTTTAGGCAGTCGCGTAACGTGTGTCCTGAGCTCCAACGTCCAAGTTATTCCTCCCCTCGGGCGTGGAGCTGTGCCCAAACCCTAAACTCTTGCCACCCCACGAGAATCCCGCAGAGCATCTGGAGCCCTAGCATGCCCTTCATATCTGCGGACGTCAAAAGTCCTGACACCGAAACACCAAAATAGCCTGAGCACAAAAACCATGCAAAAGCAGCATGTCCTCCATATGGTCCACCATGAGTCAAGCTAGGGCCTGCCAGAAAGCCATCCCTCGAAAACTTGTGGTTGCTTGGGGTTTAGGGTTTAGGGTTTAGGGTTGAGGGTTTAGGGTTTAGGGCTTAGGGTACCCTGAACAAACTTGCCAAGCCTCTCAACTCCGTGACGCTTTGAACCCTACAAGTGGGATTCTCCCCTTTTGCTAACAGGCCTCAATAGGGTTTAGCGTTCATATTGCCCCGATTAGAATCCTTATGAAGGTCTTTTCGTAAAAGGGGGACCAGTATTGTGCGCTTTGCTTCGATCGGGCCTGGCCCACTGTAGCCCGCCACAAAAAAAAACTCGCAAAACTCCAAATATAGCATTTTTTGACGATCGAGGTAGAATACGAGATCGCCCCAAATACCCTAAACCTTAAACCCTAAACCCTAAACTCAAGCTGTCCCAACCCATCAGGAATCACTCCAAAGAAACACAAGGCCTCCGCCTAAGCAAGCCAGGGCCACCAAACAGAAGTTGCAGGCTTAAGAGGAGCCAGGAAGGGAATAGGAGGTTGAACGGCAATTTCATGCGGCTTTGTGCAGATTCTTTCTGGGTCTCTCTCTTGCTGAGAACCGTCCACATCTGAACTTCAATGGTGTTCATATGTTACGTGTCGCTTGTACAACCATTAAACAAAAGAGCCTGTCGCACCCTCATTCTTCTCTTGTCATGGCTCAATCTCAAGGTCACATCTCTAAATCGATTGCAATTGCGACAGTCAGAGTTTGTAAATGCAATTGAACGAAAAAACCTTACACTTGCCCCCCCCCCCAACCCCAAACCCCCACCCCTAAATAGAACGGACCGCCTCTCTGGGCCTTTGAAAGAGTGCCCGCCTTTCCTGGCGGAGGGCAGAGAATCCCCGGCTTCAAGGGCCTTCTGGTGTGAGGAGGGTTTAGGGTTTAGGGTTTAAGGTTTAGGGTGTGGGGATTCAAGCTGACTGGTTCCTTGTAAGTTGAGGACTTAGGGTTTAGGGCTTAAGGAATTAGCATCATATGTATATCTGTCCACATGCACACGCCCACATATAGAATATATGTAAATGAATAAACAAATATACATACAAATAAATAAATAAATAAATACTATATATATATATGTATAAGATCCCCCTGGAAAAGCAAAGGCCTTGTCCTTTGGGGCTATGGGACTAAAGAATGCCCTATTTACATAGTTGCTGAAAGCATAGGCCCCAAAGAGGTGTACACTTTCAGTTCTACAGGGAATTCGTAGTATCCCAAAAAGTGTAAAGTGTACTTACTCATTCAGCTACGAAGCTTAGGGGGCTATGAGCCGTGACGACCTGCCACGTCCCTTGAGCCGCCTCTGGGCTTCGAGGGCTGAGAGTTTCTTGGCTTTGTCGGACTGTTTTTGGCTGGGGAGTGGGGGAGGGGAGGGTTGGCCCAAACCGTTTACTTGGAGGTTCATGGATAGCTGCCAATACCTGGAGGTTCATGATTCATGGTTTTTAGTAGCCCAATTATAACTGTACTTATAACCCAATTCTGACTCCATTGGGGTACTTAAAGGGCTTATAAGTGGGTTGTAACTACACTTATAATTGGGTAGTTATAAGTACCCTGAACCTCCAAGTAGTGGTTAAACGTTGGGCAGCTCTCTAAGTAGTTGTCCTTTCTGGTGTCCCCTGCAGAATACAACACGCTTATCACAAGGAAACCCAAAACCCTAAACACTGAACCTCCAAACCCTTGAAACCCTGAGCCCTAAACCCTAAACTCTACCATTGGATGTTCCCCCTTATACCAACAGTCCTTATTAGGGATTATAGTAACCCCTTATTATAATGACTGTTAGTATACGGGGGAACATCCCAACCCAAAACCCCCAAACCCCCAAACCCCTAAAGCCCTAAAGCCCTAAAGCCCTAACGCCCTAAAGCCCTAAAGCCCTAAACCCCTAAGCCCCTAAGCCCTTACACCCTAAACCCGCAAACCCCAAAACCCCACAACCCCTAAAACCCTAAAACCCCCAAATCCCAAAACCCCTACTGCAAACCCCAAAACCCTAGTTTAAAGTAAACCCTAAACCCTAAACCCTAAACCCTAAACCCTAAACCCTAAACCCTAAACCCTAAACCCTAAACCCTAAACCCTAAACCCTAAACCCTAAACCCTCAAGACAACTAAATAGAAATTGTATGTGGTATCATTCTGAATTTTCAAGATTTTTGTCTAAACAGCTGACATACAGAGTTTAAGTAAATTAATCCAAAGCGCCTGGGAGACCAAATGCTCAATTTACTTAAACCTCTTACACGTCAAGCCCACAAATGAAGCCCGAAACTCGACCCTCCAACGAGAGGTCCCAAATTAGACTGCGTGCCCCCCCACCCAAAACCTCCCCCAACCCCCCCCCCCCCCCCCCCCCCCCCCCCAAACCCCCCACCCCCAAACCCCCCAAAACCCCCCCAAAACCCCCCCAACCCCCCCCAAAACCCCCCCCAAAACCCCCCCCCAAAACCCCCCCCAAAACCCCCCCGAACCCCCCCCCCCCCCCAAAAACCCCCCCAAAACCCACCCCCCTCCCCCCCCCCCCCCCCCCAAAAACACCCCCCAAAACCCTCTTTGTTTTGGTTTTCAAATTAGATATCCCATTCGAAACCTCAAAATAAACTGAAATGATTCAGAATCAAAAGAATTCTATCCATAATTGAAAAAATAAAAAATTAGATATTCCATTGGAAACCCCAAGATAAATTGAAATGATTCAGACTCAAAAAAATTCTATCCATAATTTAAAAAATAAAATTTTGGTTTTCAAAATATTCCATTGAAAACCTCAAAATAAATTGAAAATCATTTCAGAAATATCCAAAGGATGATTGAATCGTTATAATTCCAGAAACCTCGATTTTTCAGCCTTCCCCCCGCCCCGCCGCACCACCCTCCGCCCCCCCCACGCCGACCCTAAAACCTAATATTTAAAAACAAAACTTTCGCTCAAAACGTTTCGCTCAAAACTTATTGGGACCCAAACCCTATACAATTTCTGTAAACCCCTAAACCCTAAACCCTAAACCCTAAACCCCTAAACCCCTAGTTTAAAGAACCGCCCTGCCGAAGCGCCTCAAGGACTTTCGTCCGGAGCTTCGTCAAGCGTTTGCCAAGGCCTCTCTTTTTGTTTAAATCAGCGCGGGGGCCCAGGTTTTGGGGCTTTGGAGTTGTTGAGGTGTGGGGTTTAGGGTTTAGGGCTAGGAGGGTTTAGGGTTTGGGGGTTTGCGGGTTGGGGTTTAGGTGTTAGGGCTAGGAGGGTTTGGGGTTTGGGGGTGCAGAGTTTTGAGGTTTGGGGTTTTGGAGGGTTTTTTGGGGGCTAACCCTAAACCCTAAACCCAAAAACCACCTTACAAGTTCAATTGGGGTGACGGGCGCGCGGGTTGGGACCTTTGTGGCTTTTCAGACGCACCAGAAAAAGTGCTGGACATGCCGCGGCATCGCCATTTGCGGAGTTCTCTGAATTACACATCTTAGTTGCTGAGTTCATAAGCCCCCAAAAAGTGTACGCTTTCAGTTCTTTAGGGGATAAGAGTATCCCAAAAAGTGTAAAGTGTACTTGCTCAGCTACTAAGATACACAATACGGCACCCTTATAACAAGGACGCCGCAACAGGGGCCCGAATTGAGAGAACAGCCCACTTCATGCCCTAAGACTTCTTTTTCAAGAGGCTTCAACACGGAAACGCTGGCTTGCAAGTCAACAGGCACCAGCTTCTCCTAAACCCTAAGCCCAACGAACCCGTCTTCGATGATGATGATGATGATGATGATGCTGATGATGACGGCTTAATTTCATAGGGATGATAAGGGAATCACTTGGCAATTATGCCTGCTACTTTCAGCAGAGGTTCAGGCAAAAGTCAACCTTAACCCTTTAAAGGCTTTGTTAGGGCACCAAATTCTCAAGTTCCCTATGAAGAGCCAGGAAGTTGTATGCTACTGCGTAAGAACTTTTGTCGTCCTTCACCTGAGCCTCTGCTTTCAATGTTATGGGATCCCTTTTGGTAAGGGCTTCAGATTTACGGCTTTTGAGTTTAGGGTAGGGGTTCAGGGCCTTAACAAAAGGTAGCCAGAAAGCCTTAGTGTGCCTTTAGCGCTCGATGGCCCCCTCTAAACCCTAAAGCCTAGCTAGGCAAGAGGCAGCCTTTAAACCCTAAACCCGACCGCAAAAACCCTGCTGTCGCGGTCGGAATAGATTCTCATAGCATTCCCTTATGGTCCCTTAGAATACCCCCCCAAAACCCTATTAAAAAAATTAAGGCCCCTATAATTTACCCTAAAGAAGAGGCAGGGTGTGGCGGTCACCTTCGACCTCGCCCGCGGCGCCATTCAGGGCCTTCGGGGAGGCTACTGGGATTTAGGGTTTAGGCTTTAGGGGTTTAGGGTTTAGGGTTTAGGATTTAGGGTTTAGGATTTAGGGTTTAGGATTTAGGGTTTAGGATTTAGGGTTTAGGATTTAGGGTCATTCTAAACAGGACCTTGTAAGTATCACGTTGACTTGCTTTCCACCCAGTACCACCCAGTAAGAGTGCAGGGCTCATGGATTTTTTGGATGTCGGGATGTCGGGTTTAGGGTTTAGGGTTTAGGGTTTAGGGTAGGTGCCAGACATTGCGGGGGAGGGGCGGTTGAGGGTCGCTAGCATAAACTTAAGGGTCAAAAAAACAATCCAGGGACCTAAATCCTAAACCCTAAAGGCCTCAGTTTCCTGCGGCCCTAAACCCTAAACCCTAAACCCCAAACCCCAAACCTTAACCCCTTTGGGCTGCCGTACTTCGAGGAACCAAGCTCACTGGCATCATTGCTTCGGCTCGACCCAAGAGTAACCTAGGATTATAAAAATGGTGCACTTTTTTGGCTTCAGGGGCCAAACCTTAAAAGAAAGGGAACAAGGGCCTACTCTGGGTCGGTCTGGGGTCGACAGTTTTTTGGTTCGGGGTGGGATTCTCACTAGTGGGTAGTGAAATTGGTTATTCTTTTGGGCCGATGCTTTTGACAGCTTGGGCTTTCAGGAAGCGCTCGCTTGTAGGGTTGAGGGTCTCGAGTGCTCAGGGATTCAAAGGGTCAGTTTTTGTTTTGGGCCGTTGTCTTAAGGTGTGGTCTGTTGGAGGGTGCTTTTTGGGTAGGAATTTGGTTCGGCTTGTATGTATTCCTTCTGGGGTTCAAAGAGTTCAGGGTTTGGGACTGCAGGGTTCAGAGCTTAGGGTTTGGGGCTAGGGTTTAGGGTTTAGGTTTTGGGGTTTAAGGTTGAGGGTTTAGGGTTTAGGGATTAGGGTATGTACGAGTGGACAGAAATCTAGCCGGAGCCTAAAAGGTACAATTGTTGGAGCTGCAAATAAATGTAAGCTAATCATCAACTGATACCTTTCACTTCATCCGGCCACCTTTGGCTAAGAAAGTCACATGTTTAAACGTGTAAAACAAACACTGCCGGAAGTCATATTTTGACCAAAACTCCAATTTGGAGGGAGCTCGTGTATATAGTGTAAGCCCTAGACATTCAACCTTAAACCCAAACCCTAAACTTGGATGTTCCTCCTTATATTAACGGTCCTTAATCGGGATTATAATAGGGGGTACGATAATCCCTATTCTACGTCGCCAGCAAACGTTAAACCCTTCTTCCTAAAACCCTAAACCCTAAACCCTAAACCCTGGCAATGTAGCGAGCACTTGTGAGCGGAAGCGGCCTCGAGACCCTTGGCACCGTTTTCAGAGGTGATTCTCTTCAGCGCAAGGCGCTTCCTTGGCCGGGGTTTAGGGTTTAGGGTTAGGGGTTTAGGGCTGAGGGGGCCGGCTTCTTCACCGGGCTGCGAAATTTGGGGTGGATTTAGGGTTGAGGAAAAGAAAGCACAGTTTTCGGAACCTTTCTGCGAGCGTTGGAGTGTTCCGGACTATGTGACAAGATTTCTTTCTGGTTGGCAGAGTCACATTTTCTCTGGATTGTAGAGCAAATTTCTGGATTGCTTAATGTTTTTCTTAAGTTTGCAAGCACTTTTCACCACCCCCCACTCCCCCTCGCCCCCCTCCACCCCCCCCCCCCCCCCCCCCCCCCCCCCCCCAAAAAAAAAAAAACAAAAAAAGAAAACAGAAACAAACACAATAATCGCCTCGGCTTCCAGCCGAGAGGCGTCTAGAACAAGCAGACCACCATCCGCCCCTTCTCTACTGATTTTAGTGAGCCCCCCTCCTTCCCTGTGGACTGCCAGACCTGCGAAAGGCTGATGGCACAGGCTGCTATGGCGGCACGCAATTACCCCAAACCCGAAACTCAAACCGCTGAATGCTGGGGTGGCTGGGGGTACTTCGTATACGAGGACCTACACCATAACCCTAAACCCTGAACCCTAAACACTAAAAACCCTAAACCCTGTTCTGCAGCCCAGGGTCATGGCGACGTCTGTCTTGGCACTTGAGGCCAGCACAATTGCGGTCTGGCCCGGGGGGGGTTCGGGTTTCGGTTTTAGGGTTTAGGGTTGTAGGATTTTAGGGTTTTAGGGTTTTCGGGTTTTAGGGTTTTAGGGTTTTAAGGTTTTAGGGTTTTAGGGTTTAGGGTCCGGGTCCTTTACAGCGAAACCCCCCTAAACCTTGAATCCTGAATCCCAAGACCCTAAGCCCCAAAGCCAACCACTTAGCCCCCCACATCCTGATGGGCCCCAAGCCCGGATCCTAGCCTAGGCCCAAGCCTCAACGCCTAAACCACCTACTTGCCTTTGTAAAAGCGTCTGCTCCGCCAATCTGTGCCGAATAAGCAGTGCATCGCTTAGTAGAAGGGTTTTTGGCCTCTGTGGGCAACCCGTGAATCAACCCACATACTGTTTGAAATCATGCTCGGATCCCCATTTCAATGTACGGATCTTTCCGTAACTGCGGGATTGGGATCCCCAAGAGAAGTGCCACTAGCTGAAGCCAACTTGTGTTGCAATCTGAGGTATAAAAGGCGGGGGGGGGGGGGGGGGGGGGGGTGGCTTCAAACTTCAGAGGATTTCGGGTAAGAGCCCCCTAAACCATCGCAAAACCTACTCATGCTTTCAGAGGAACACAGTAGAGGTTTTTCTTGGCGCCAGGGGCTTAGAGTATGGGCCCCCGAATGGATATAACGACGAAGCCCCCCCAAAAGGTTACGGATTCTTGCTAGGGACCACACTCTTAACTTGGGTGACTGCCTTTGCAGTAGATGAGGAGCCTGATGCATTGACATATACATATTGTGCATGTATCATGAAGGCAGATACATATACATACAGTATGTATGTGTATGTATACACTTCGGGATCAAAATAAGCATAATAAGAACAATAATAAGAATAATATGAAGAAGAATAAGAAGAAGAATAAGAATAATAATAAGAATAATAATAACAATAATAATAACAATAATCATAACAATAATAATCACAATGATAATAATAACAACAATAATAATAATGCACGCTCATACATATATGTACGTGTATGTGTGTATATATATATATATGTGCGTGTACATGTATGTCTGCTCGTCTGAAATCTGCGTGTTTGGTGTACTGGGTAGGTCGTAGCTCATGCGGCCGTGCCTGGATCGCCTTCTCCCATTCCGTGAGCAAGCGGCCGACCTGCCAGGCACAGTCGCACCCCATTGTTCGGTTTAGGGTTTAGGGTTTAGGGTTTAGGGTTTAGGGTTTAGGGTTTAGGGTTTAGGGTTTAGGGTTTAGGGTTTTGGGTTTAAGCTTTCAGGCTTAAACCCTGTTCGCCACCCATACTCTCACAGGCGCGACTCCAGGAGCCTGCTCCGCAGGGGCTCAATGTTGAAGCCCAAACCTTAAACTCCTAAAGCTTGGGATGTTCCCCCCCGGGTTTAGGGTTTAGGGTTTAGGGTTTAGGGTTTCGGGTTTAGGGGTTTAAGGTTTAGGGTTTAGGGTTTAGGTGGCCCATTAAGGACTTCAGGGCTTAGGTTTAGAGCTTAGGTGGAGGGTTTGTGGGATCAGCTAAATGGTTGCTTAGGATCTTCAGATTCAGGGTGTAGGGTTTAGGGTTTGCTGTAGTAGCCCTAAACCCTAAACCCTAAACCCCAAAGCTTTGGGGCTCCGAAAGTGTCCCTGGCTTCAGAGAGCGCAGCCTGTGAAGGAGTGCCCCGCCCAAAAAAAATCGAAAGTAGCTAGGGGGCTGGCTCTTCAAATCCCCCTGCAAAAACATTCCTAAATCCTAGACCCTGGACCCCTAGATGGGATCTTCTTCAGGGTTTTAGGGCTGGAGGGCTCGTAACACGAAACTTGGACTTGAAGATTCTGAACGTCTCGGGCTTGTTTCGAGTCTGCTTGGGGTGTCGTGTCCCAGTGTTCAGGGCTTCGCCGTTAAGGGTCGTGTTCTCTTCAAGTCTTCTGTTCCCAGGCTGTGCAGCCTTCAAGCTGAAAAAACCCTCAAACCCCCCAGTCCATGAACTCTGAGACCCCTAAACCCTAAACCCTAAACCCTAAACCCCAAACCCCAAACCCTTGAACCCTTGAACCCTTGAACCCCTAGACCCAAATACCCATAAAAGCAAACCCTAAAGCCCCTAAATACCCCTAAACCCCAAGGCCTAAAACCCATAGACTTACAAACCCTAAAACCCTGAAGTCCCTAAACCCTAAACCCTAAACCCTGAAACACTATACCCTGAACCCTGAGCCCTGAACCCTGAACCCTAAACCCGAAACCCTAAACCCTCAAGGCCAGGATAAACAGAAATTGTAGGCGTTTCATGACGAGCAGCTCGTGCAATAATCCTTCATCCTTCACAATGCGGGGTTTAGGGTTTAGGGTTTAGGGTTTAGGAAACAAAAGCATGGCTTTCAGCAGGGAAAGAAAGCCCAGAACCAAAATCAAGTTGTCAGCAAAAGTTTAAATAAAAAAGAAAAACCGGCAAAACCCCCCAACCCCCCCCCCCCCCCCCCCCCCCCCCCCCCCAAAAAAAAAAAAAAACGACAAAACTCCGGACACAAACCCTATACACTTTCTATAAACCCCAAACCCTAAACCCTAAAGTGCGCCTCCGGCGCCTCGAGGTTCGTCTCCGTCCACGGGCGCTTCGATGCCTGCTGCTCGAGGAATGGGTGCTTGAGTTCGGGTTTAGGGTTTAGGGTTTAGGGTTTAGGGTTTAGGGTTTAGGGTTTAGGGTTTAGGGTTTAGGGTTTAGGGTTTAGGGTTTAGGGTTTAGGAGATTTTCCATCCCAGGCACAGGACAGACGGGCCGCTGTTTCTAGGCCTGAAGACCCTAAACCCTACCTGGGTTGGCCTTTAAACACCCTGAAAAATGTTTATATCTAGGGTCCCTTATAAACCCAAAGAGGAAAATATAAAATGTCCCAAAATCCAACCTAGCTACATGCCATCAGGATTTAGGTTTAGGGTTTACAGTAGCAGGCTCGAAACAAACTTAGGGAGCCAAACAAAAGCAACCCTGAAACCCTAAACCCTAAATCATAAATCATAAACCCTAAACCCTGAACTTCCCTGAACCCTGCCTTGTCGAAGGCCGCGGCGCACTCTGCCTTCTTCTGCTCCGCGTCCTGCGAGAACCCCTCGACCCTAAACCGCAACTTTACCTAGGGTTTAGGGTTTCGGGTTTAAGGTTTAGCAGTGTAGGGTGCAGCGGTTTGGGTTTAGCGGCTTACTGTAAACGCTGCTCAACTTCATTCTTCACATTGGAGGGTGTCGGGTTCGGGTTTGGGACTCTAAGCTTTCGGGGTGAGGCGTGAGTCTTGGGGGTTCAAGTGTTTAGGGTTCCTTGCTTCTTATCTTCAAGGAGACTGTTGAAAGTTACCTTTACCATTCTACTCCATTATGCTATTATACTCTTTTGCTGTTATGTTCGCTTCTTATCTTCAGGGCTTTTCTGGGTTGAGGTAGGATTTCGGGCTTGGGGTCTGGCAGTTTGGGGCTTTCGCGTTTTTTCAAAGTGCCCTCGATTTTCATAGGGCTCTACCCGAGGCGCTTCACACACACGACAACCTCAAGCTCGCAGACTTCCCCGCACTTCCCCGCAGATCTAGACCCGAAACACTAAACCCTAAACCCTAAACCCATGCTTCCCAGAACAAAGAACACACTGATGCATCGGAAACCATTCAAATTAGACAGGGCCCCTGTAGCACCCTGTCACTCCCACTATACGGTAAGTGTTCAACCAACATACCTGCTCCCGAATGACCATCATCTAGGTTCTCTTTCTGGGGGTTTATGGTAATCAGGACCCCCTAGTGTAGACCACTAGATAGGAGGATCCCTTGCAATAAGGACCCCAATCAGGTTCCCCTACTATCGTAAGCCCATTTATTCGTCTGGGTGCCGGGCCTAGGGTTTGAGGTTTAGGGTCTAGGGCTTCGGGAAGTTGAGGGTGGTAGGGTTCCTCAAGCCCTGAACCCTAAACCCTAAACCCTGAAACCCTACAACCCTACACCCCCCTCCCCTCCCCTCCCCTTGTCACAAGAGCCGAGAAAGGTGGCCTGGAGGATGCGATGGACGAAGAAGGCTTCCGAATGCTCCTTGAGCCTGTGGCAAGCATCACTGCGAGCAGCTTCGGATCTGGGGTGGTGGGGTTTCGGGTTTAAGGTTTAGGGAAGAGAATCATATGCTGTGACGCAAGTAGCACGGCCAAATAAGCACGGGATTGGGGCTTTGAAGCGGTTTGGATGGATTCATATGCTTTGAAACAAGCTTTGCAGGGCTTCAGAGAACCGCGGGACCAAGGGAACCACGGGACCAGGGCAGACCAGAGGACCACGGGACCAAGGGAACCAGAGGACCAAGGGACCAAAGGACCAGAGCGCCACGGGACCACGGGACCACGGGACCACGGGACCAAGGGGACCAGGGGAGTAGCAGGGGGGAGGAGGTACGAGCCAAAAAGGAGGGTCGAGCCACACCTTTTAAACACAAAACCCTGGCCCACCCCAAACCCAAACCCCAACCCCTGAACATGGTTATAAGTACAGAAATAATTGGTTCATAAGTACCATGAACCTCCAAGTACAAGGGCTACCCTGCAATCTTCGGGAGCCCTGCCATCCCCCAAGCCCTGCACATCCTGACCCCAATGGAACCAACAAATTCTGTACCAAAACCCTAAACCCTAAACCCCAAACCCTAAACCCTAAACCCTAACTCCTAAACCCTAAACCCTAAGAGAACCAGGAAGAGCCAGGTTATGAGGCCCGGGCTTATTCTGAGTTTGCTGTGCTCGCTGCTCAGCAGACCTGGCAGCAGCCCTTCAAGGGTTTAGGGTTTAGGGTTTAATTAGGGTTTAGGGCTTAGGGCTTAGGGTTTAAGGTTTAGGGTTTAGGGTGAACCGAAGCGCTTCCATACTCAAGCTCAGAACCACCCCCGTAATGAGTCCCTCATGGGCTTTCTGGCCGCAAGCAATGGTCGCAAGTGCCCAAACCAATTACCGTGAACCTCGCCCTACAGACCAGACGAGCCTTTCAAACGCTACAAAGCCTACAGACTGCAAAGCCCACCCCCACCCCCCCCCTAAAGACTACAAACCCTACATCTTCACTCAACCCTAAGACTTAATTGCTGAGTTCATAGGCCCCAAAATATGTGTACACTTTCAGCTCTATAGGGGCTATAGGGGATCATAGTATCCCAAAACGTGTAAAGTGTACTCATTCAGCTACCCTAAACCCTAAACCCTAAACCCTAAGCCCGAAGCCCTAAACCTTGAACCCTAAGCCCTAAGCCCTAAGCCCTACAAACCCCAATAAAACCCTAAACGTCCCTTGCCTCAGCTGCTGCATCGCAGCGCCGGTCGTTACGCCACGAGACTCCTTGCGACCGATGAAGGTCGGCAAGGGTTTAGGGTTTAGGGTTTAGGGTTTAGGGTTTAGGGTTTAGGGTTTAGGGTTTAGGGTTTAGGGTTCAGGGCTCAGGGTTCAGGGTTTAGGGTTTAGGGTTTAGGGTTTAGGGTTTAGGGTTTAGGGTTTAGGGTTTAGGGTTTCGGGTTTCGGGTTTCGGGTTCAGCATCTCATGTCCAAGCATTCGCTAGTCAAGCTCGCTACTCTGGGATTGAAAATCTACCCACCCACTCATTGGATCCCATAACATTAGAAAATTTATTGGTTTCCTAATTTCCTTTAATCAAAATGAAAAGACCCAAACGCGCCACTAAGCAAAAAACTCGTAAACCCTAAATCCAGTAGGCCCTAAATCCTGAAGCCCAAGGCTACCCCCTAAATCCTAAAGCCCAAGGCCCAGTAGGCCCTAAAACCTAAAGCCCAAGGCCAGTGGCCCTAAATCCTAAAAGCCCAAGGCCCAGTGGCGCGGGAAATGGCCCTTAGCCAAGAAGAAATGACCCTTAGCCACGAAGAAATGACCCTTAACCACGAAGGAAATGACCCTTAGCCACGAAGGAAATGACCATTAGCCACGAAGAAATGGCCCTTAGCCACGAAGAAATGACCCTTAGCCACGAAGAAATGACCCTTAGCCACGAAGAAATGACCCTTAGCGACGAAGAAATGACCCTTAGCCACGAAGGAAATGACCCTTAGCCACGAAGGAAATGACCCTTAGCCACGAAGGAAATGACCTTTAGCCACGAAGAAATGACCCTTAGCCACGAAGAAATGACCCTTAGCCACGAAGGAAATGACCCTTAGCCACGAAGGAAATGACCCTTAGCCACGAAGGAAATGACCCTTAGCCACGAAGGAAATGACCCTTAGCCACGAAGAAATGACCCTTAGCCACGAAGAAATGACCCTTAGCCACGAAGAAATGGCCCTTAGCGAAAAGAAATGACCCTTAGCCACGAAGAAATGACCCTTAGCGACGAAGAAATGGCCCTTAGCGAAGAAATTGCCCTTAGCCACGAAGGAAATGACCCTTAGCCACGAAGAAATGACCCTTAGCCACGAAGGAAATGACCCTTAGCCACGAAGAAATGACCCTTAGCCACGAAGAAATGACCCTTAGCCACGAAGGAAATGACCCTTAGCCACGAAGAAATGACCCTTAGCCACGAAGAAATGACCCTTAGCCACGAAGAAATGACCCTTAGCCACGAAGAAATGACCCTTAGCCACGACGAAGAAATGACCCTTAGCCACGAAGGAAATGACCCTTAGCCACGAAGGAAATGACCCTTAGCCACGAAGGAAATGACCCTTAGCCACGAAGAAATGGCCCTTAGCCACGAAGAAATGGCCCTTAGCGACGAAGAAATGACCCTTAGCCACGAAGAAATGACCCTTAGCGACGAAGAAATGGCCCCCAGCGAAGAAATTGTCCTTAGCCACGAAGAAATGACCCCTAGCCACTAAGAAATGACCCTTAGCCACGAAGGAAATGACCCGTAGCCACGAAGAAATGACCCCTAGCCACTAAGAAATGACCCTTAGCCACGAAGGAAATGACCCTTAGCCACGAAGAAATGGCCCCTTAGCGACGAAGAAATGACCCTTAGCCACGAAGAAATGACCCTTGGCGGCGAAGAAACGGCCCTTAGCGAAGAAATTGCCCTTAGCCACGAAGAAATGACCCCTAGCCACTGAGAAATGACCCTTAGCCACGAAGGAAATGACCCTTTGCCACGAAGAACTGGCCCTTAGCCACGAAGAAACCCTTAGCGACGAAGAAATGGGAAGAAATGGCCCTTAGCAAAGAAATTGCCCTTAGCCACGAAGAAATGATCCTTAGCCACTAAGAAATGACCCTTAGCCACGAAGAAATGACCCTTAGCCACGAAGAAATGACCCTTAGCCACGAAGAAATGACCCTTAGCCACGAATGTGTATAGGGTTTAAATATACAAGGTAAGAAAGGTTTAGGTTTAGGGTTTAGGGTTTAGGGTTTAGGGTTTAGGGTTTAGGGTTTAGGGTTTAGGGTTTAGGGTTTAGGGTTTAGGGTTTAGGGTTTAGGGTTTAGGGTTCAGGGTCGTAGGTATTCAGGTAGTGTAAGATAAGTGTATATTTGTATACACATGTACAGATGCACATATGCGTTGCAGCATCTTAATGTAGGTTTATGTAGGCCTCTAAATATGCATGTATGATATTAGGGGTGGTACGGTGGATGGACGATATCTTACACCACCTGTCCGTGCGTGCTTCAAACGAGTAAGGCATCAAGCCCCGCACCCTCTGCTTAACATTGGCGGCTAGGACACTTAAGCGGTGCAAGATTGAGGCCATTGGAGCAGATCCGGCCAGTAGCTTCTCACAGCCAGTGCTAAAAAAAGGGGGCACGGGGGACACAAAAAGACTTTTCGGAAATGCGGTGCAAGATTTTGTCCATCCACAGTCCCTTTCGGCGAGTGTTGCAGTGTATCTTCTACGAGCGTGAGTGATTAGCCATGGCTTCTGAGTCGTTTCGGTGGCTTCAGCGACATTAACTTTGCTGGGATGCAGTTTTGCACTCCCAAGGTGCCTCAAATACGTGCAACATAGCAGTCAACACTCAGTCAACACTAGGGCCAACACTACCTACCAACACCCGTGGAATTCACTCGTTTTCAAGAAGAATATAGGTTTTTTTAGCTTCTCAATGTCCACAACAGCAACATGCTGGATTTTCCAGCATTTTAGCAGTGTTGGCTGTAGTGTTGACTGTAGTGTTGACCGAGTGTTGACTGTCATTAAGCAAGCATGTGCTGCTTTTACAGGAAAGACAGCTTTTTTTCGCTTCTTCATGTCCAGGACAGCAAGGTGCTAGATTTTACAGCATCTTGGCAGTGTTGACTGTAGCGTTGATTGTAGATGGAATGAATTGCTGTGTCGCGTGTCCCGAGTCCAGGCACCCTAGAAAAGGGTGGGCACGCACTATCAGCATTCAGTTACTGCAGGTGTGCAAAAGATGCAAAAGCACTTCTGCCCTTCAGTAGGATAAAGGGTCCCTAGGTGTCAGACCCCGAACATCAGTCCAGGATGAATTGCACCTGAAATCTCCCAAGATCCCAACCCCCCATCCCCCTCCCCCCTGGTCCAGCTGGCGCAGTAGACCACGCAAAGCGACATGCACCTCCTGTGGACAACTCTGACCCCCTCAGCCCTCCATAACTCTCAACCCCACACTCATAAACCCATAAACCCAAACCCACAAACCTTTTAACCTCCCAAGCTCTGAAGATGATAAGAACTGAACCACACTAGCTAACGTTGAAATCGAGCCTTCCGAAAGTGACGCCCTCGAACACCCAAAGTTTCCCCAAAGGGCCACCGGAGCCCTAGACCCCAAACCCTCAACCCTCAACCCTCAACCCTAAACCCCAGACCCTAAACCCTTCAGTTCCTGACACAACGGTTCTGGCCATTCTTGGTATTGGCTCTGCCGACCGGGTGCACTTTCAATAAAGGCAAATAAATATCAACAAGTACAAAACAGCCCCAAACCCTAAACCCCAAACATAAGTATACGCAAACATACACCCCCCGGGCCGAAAGTTTCGACCCACGGCGCATGTGGGTTTTCACTCAGAAAGTGAAGACTCGCGCGGAGTAGCGGAGTGCCGAGAAGTGGCTGGCGTTTTCACTACGCCTGCTGGCGGAGAAATTAATACTTTGTTTAAAATGTAGTACTACTGAAGTTCCGGAGGAGGCCTCCAGGCGCACGGTAAAGGGCAAGGACTTCTAGATGTCGGTGGGTCGAACTATGGGCCCGGCGCAGTATTCTATGTGAGTATAAGTCACACAAAAATCAACATGCATACATGTATATGGATTTTCTCTAAATTCGGGTCCCTTTTTGGGATCCCTTTCTAAAGGGTACCGCCTTAGAATGCGTATCCCAAAAAAGGACCCTGACTTAGGAAACCACCCATATGGCGGTTTCCGAAATTCGGGGTAGCTTATTGGGGTCCTTACTATAAGGGAATCCTACTATTTGTAAATCTATCTTGGGGGGGCCCTCTTATCGTAAACCCCCATATGCGCATATACATAATTCCCTCCCCCCCAATTTTAACCCCCCCCCCTAATGTTAAGCACCCCCCCCCCCCCCAGTAGAGTTGTATTGTGGTATATTGGGGGGGGGGGGGGTATTTAATATTAGGGGGACGTCAATGAAATATTAGGAGGAGGGGATTAATCAATCTATTTAGGGTTTTGTTTGGGGGGTTCAAGCCTTTTGAGCGGGGTTGTACAGGGCAGTGGCATTCAGGATGACTTCCAGGCCCTCTGAACCCCAGCCGCTAAGCCACGGGTCCCTAAACCCTGAACCCTGAACCCTGAACCCTAAACCCTGAACCCTGAACCCTGAACCCTAAACCCTAAACCCTAAACCCTAAACCCTCCCTAACCCTAAACCCTAAACCCGAAACCGCTCCTGTGTGGCCACTTCGGCGCACTTGACCTGCGCTGCGACGTCCTGTCCACAACGCTAAGCTTGAGGCTTCAAAACCCTCAACCCTCAACCCTCACAACCCGCCAAAGCCCCCGAAAGACCCCGAAAGGGCCCCTAAACCCACAGACTCCCTAAGCCCCTAGCCGCCCCAAAACGCCCCCAAGGGCCCCAAAGATCCTAGGCTTCGGGTTGCGGGAGCGAATATGAAGGGCGTTCTTGCCTACGAGCTCTCGGTAGGCCTTCGAAGGAAGTCGGTGCCTTCAGGCCCCCCCCCCCTCCCTCCCTTTTTAAGGGATTTTCTGGGGTAGTGCGCTAGCTCCCTACCAAGAACCAAGTGTAGGGAAAAACATACGGCCATTCCGGAAGCATCGGAACACAACTCCCCCCCCCCGCCCGAACCTGAAACCCTACAAGAAAAGCGTCGCTGTCGGCACCTTCTTGGGCCTAAGCCCTAAACCCCGAGCGATCCTACACCCAACCCACATGTTGTAGGGTTTCGGGTGTAGGCTTTTCAGGGGTAAGGTCGAGGGCTGGCGCAGGGGTGTAGAGTTAAAGGTTCTTGGTCTTGGTTTTTTGATTGTCTACAGGGGGTGCCGCCCCCACAAGAACTTAAGACCTCAAGTAGGGGTACAGAACTCGTAAACGTGAAGCCTGCATGCGCTGAAGCGGCTTGGACCACGAAGAACCCATCCCTACACCTCAAAGGCTCAAACCTTCAAACCCTAAACCCCTGCAAGGCTCAGGAAGTTCAATGTCCTGGGCTCCCACCTGGACCCTAAACCCTAAACCCCAAACCCGGATTCCCGGATGTCCCCCAAGCATTCTTAAGGCTTAAGGGTTCACTGCTTAGGGCTGGCAGGCTTGGTTGGGGTTCAGGGTTTAGGGTGTAGGGGTTGGGCTTGATAAAGGCCCTGATCTTAGTTGCTGAGGTCATAGGCCTCAAAAAAGTGTACACTTTCAGCTCTGTAGGGGAACATAGAATCCCAAAAAGGGTAAAATGTACTCATTCAGCTACTAAGTCATCAAAAACCCGAACCCAAAAACCTTATCAGCTACAAGCCGCCAAGCCCGAACATGGCATTCAGAAAGGCCTTCAGATGTCGACGTTTAGGGTTTAGGGTTTAGGGTTTAGGATTTAGGGTTTAGGGTTTAGAGTTTAGGGTTTAGGGCTCAGGACCCCTTGGCGCATCCCTAGACCCGAAACCCCAAAACTCCTAGCCACAGCGGCAAACCCTAAACCCAGAGAACACTAATCCCGCCCGCGCCCCAATACAACACCCAATCCTTAGTGTTCCCACATCACCCCTCCCCTCGCCTCCCCTCATCCTCCCTCAACGAGCTTTGCGATAAGCAGGGTTCTATCATGTCCTTCCAAACTTGTACCCGGTGTAGCCTAAACCCTAAACCCTAAACCCTAAACCCTAAACCCTAAACCCTAAACCCTAAACCCTAAACCCTAAACCCTAAACCCGACCAAAGAGCTGACATATGCCGCCTCGGACTTCTCAATGAGTGCGGACTTGATGTCGAAGGTCTTGTCGAGCTTGGAAGCAATGATCCTCAAAGGCTTCCGTAAGGGAAGTTGGGTTTAGGGTTTAGGGTTTAGGGTCTAGGGTCTAGGGTTTAGGGTTTAGGGTTTGGGGTTTGGGGTTTGGGGTTTGGGGTTTAGGGTTTAGGGTTTAGGGTTTAGGGTTTACGGTTTAGGGTTTGGGGTTTGGGGTTTGGGGTTTAGGGTTTAGGGGGTGTAGGCTTGAACCCTAAGTGCGGTTTAGGGTTGAGGGCTTAGGGCTTATGCCGTGCTTTTTGTTGCTGATGGGGGGTGGGCATCTTTTGGTTGCCGCCTTTTGGCATCGTGCTTCGTTTCGGGCTTGTTTTTGTGGTTTTGAAGCCTGCGGAGGGGCCTGTGTGGGTGTCCTTTTTTGGACCTTTGTTTGGTCAGCAACTTTGCCTTCCAGTAAGAACCCCGCCCATACACGAAACACACGGCACCCAACCGTTTCAAGAACCTGCTGCCGAAACCATACACCTAAACCCCAAACCCCAAACCAAACCCTAAACACCATGAATTGCCTGGGCCAAGGCTCTCGTTTTCCACGAGCTTTCCTTCAAGCTCCGACAGCTTCTCCCTGTGCTTTGGGAAGTCCCTACACCCTAAACCCTAAACCCTAAACGTAAAACCCTAAACCCTAAACCCTAAACCCTAAACGTACGGTTCAGGTGGAGATTTGGGGCTTAACGGGCTTTAAGGCTTGGGGTGTTTAGGGCTTAGGGTTCATGGTTTAGGGTTAGGGTTTGGGGCGCTTTAAGGCTTGCAAGCTTGCCCCAAGGTTACGTCCTTAGGCTCTGATGCAGGGCTTGCACCTTTCTTGTTCAAGGCCCACGCCCCTTCCATTGTGAGACTCGAACCCCTCAAGCAAGTCGCGAAATTTTCAGGTTTAGGGTTTAGGGTTTAGGGTTTAGGGTTTAGGGTTTAGGGTTTAGGGTTTAGGGCCCTCAGGCTCCTATCAAATGTCCCGGAACCTAAAGCCCTGAAACCGCCGGGTTAACCCCACACCCCTAAACCCCTGAACCCCCTGAACTGTAGAGCCCTAAAACCCTCAGCTTCCCCAAAAGGTGCCCCATGAACCGCCCCTGAACCCGAAACCCTAAACTCATGGGGATTGGGGGGGGTCTTGCGGGGAGGGGTCTGGCCCCAGTGTGATATTTGGTAAGCTTTCGTGGCTGTTTCGGCTGCAAGAGCGCGATGGATCCTCCTGCGCTGCTCTTTGAATCGCCTCAAGTCGGTTCGTAGTTGTCGGCTTTTGTGCAGAGGAACAGCGCTGTATCTCCCGTGTGAAACTGGCTGCAGAGCGGTTCGAGAGGTTATTAAGCGCTAATACACGGGACAGCCTGCCTCTGTGTAAATAAGGCATTATTATCGTGTAATACAGGCACGTTAGGGCAAATATAAGGTATATTAAGGGCTGGAAAAAGCCTTCCTGTGAATAGGAAGGTTCATAAGCGGAAATAAGCAACAAATAAGGGAAATAAGGGCCAAATAGGGGTTGTTAGTAGGAATACGCTAATTTGTTTCTCAAAAATAACCTAGCAGTACAAGCTTATTTGGATGTTACTAACGTCGCTGCCTGTGCTGCAGAAAAGAGAGTCCTCTCTGTGTCAGTGCGGGGCACCAAAGGGAGCACTCTGGGAAGCTTTGTTTTCTGCAGCAACGGCAGCGACGTTAGTAACATCCTAATAAGCTTGTATTGCTGGCTTATTTTTCAGAAACAAGTGGTTGGAACAGCCCAGAACATATAGCTTATTAGCAGTTTATATGGCGAGATTAGCCGTTGTTATGGCTCTATTAACGGATATTACTGCGTTATTAAGATGTCGATGCTTAATACCCTCTCATTAGCTGCGAGTTGCTTTGCAATAAAGAAAACAAAGTTTCATTCGCTACTTGTCTCTTATTTGGCACAGGCCTGAGACCCCCCCCCCCCCCCCCCCAAACCCCCCCCCAATCCCCATGATAAACCCTAAACCCTAAACCCTAAACCCTAAACCCCTCCCTTAAGGACCCTATGAAATTCCGGCTCCCAGGGGCTTCACTTCAGCCACCAGCCGCTGCTGAGCAGCCCTGCACAGTTTAGGGTTTAGGGTTTAGGGTTTGGGTTTAGGGTTTAGGGTTTAGGGTTTAGGGTTTAGGGTTTAGGGTTTAGGGTTTAGGGTTTAGGGTTTAGGGTTTAGGGTTTTAGTGTTTAGGGTTTAGGGTTTAGGGTTTAGGGTTTAGGGTTTAGGGTTTAGGGTTTAGGGTTTAGGGTTTAGGGTTTAGGGTTTAGGGTTTAGGGTTTAGGGTTTAGGGTTTAGGGTTTAGGGTTTAGGGTTTAGGGTTAGGTTTAGGGTTTAGGGTTTAGGGTTTAGGGTTTAGGGTTTAGGGTTTAGGGTTTAGGGTTTAGGGTTTGTGGGGGCGTTGCTCTCACAGGCTGGATGGGAGGCTTAGGGACTTAGGGTGGGTTTAGGGTTTAGGGTCTAGGGATTCGGGTTTAGGGTTTAGGGTTGAGGATTTGAAGGTTTAGGGGAACATTTGGATTGAGGACTTGGGGTGTTCAGGGCTGTGGATGTTTTTGGAGCCTTCCCCCTATGAACCTTCAACCCTCAACCCAATTTTCATTTGAAGGCCATGGCACCGATTTGTGATGCCTTGGCCCCTGAGCCCTAAACGCTACTAAACCCCGAGCAAAATCCCAAACATGAAGCCCTGAAGCCCACATCCTAAACTCTCTAGACCATCCCCGACCTCCTCAACCGCTCAAGTGCTTCCTTGGCAGGTTCTTTCGTGTGGAGTTCTGCAGCTAGGAAACCCAAGATTCCCATGACAAGCTATTGTTGGGGCCCCAAATCCAAAAACTCCTAACCCCAAACCCTAAACCCTAAACCCTAAACCCTGAACCCTGAACCCTGAACCCCTGAACCCCAAAACCCCAAAAACCTTAAACCCTAGAGTGTCGGCTCCGGCCTTCAAACAGCAGCCCAAAGCCTAAACCCAGCACTAGGATTACTAAAGTTCAGGGTTTCGGGGGGTCCACGGGTTTAGGGTTTAGGGTTTAGGGTTTAGGGTTTAGGGTTTAGGGTTTAGGGTTTGGGGTTTAGGGTTTAGGGCTTAGGGGTGGTATGGCAGTTCTCCAACATCACCAAACAGGAACTCGATTTTGAAGCCTCAGGGTACATGGGTTATAGCCCTAGCAGTCGCCGAACCGGTTTTTATTTTTCTATCCCAAAAACGCCTTTGCTCCACCGATGAGTACAGCTTGCGCTGGTCGGACACGTCGGTCTGCACCTGCCATCGCGCGAACTCTTTGCAGGATCGGGCTTCGAGCTGGGGCCTGCATGCGAGCTACTCATACATACGGAAAAACACGCGGCCTAAATATATGAATAACTAAATACCTTATTCAAACGGAACAAGGAGTCTCTATATATATGGTCCGGCGTCTGGCGTGTCCGGCCCCCCCCCCCCCCCCCATGGTATGGTCAGGTAGGGGGGGGGGGGCCCCCTCGCCAAAACCCGTGTTTTGAGTGTTGTGTTCGGTTGACGGAGCGCGCCCTCGGGGAAACCCATGTGTGTGAGGCGTTTACCCCCCCCCCCCCTTCCCCCTCCAGGTCTACCGTCTCTAACCCTAAACCCTGTCAAACCCTAAGCCCTAAACCAACCAACCCTAAACCCTAAACCCTAAAACCAACCCCCAACCACACCACAGGGGGGGGGGGGTTAACCCTAAAACCTTTCAAACCCTAAACCCTAAACCAAAAACCCTAAACCTAAAACCCTAAACCCTAAACCCAAACCCTAAACCCTAAACCCTAAACCCAAACCCTAAACCCTAAACCCAAACCCTAAACCCTAAAACCCTAAACCCTAAACCCTAAATCCTGACCCTAAACCCTAAACCCTAACCCTAAAACCAACCCCCAACCACACCACAGGGGGGGGGGGGGGGTTCCAGACCATGGGTGGGGGGGGGGAGGGGGGGGCCGGGGAGCACTGGACCATATATATATATATATACATATATATATATACATATACACACACACGTACTTATGGACACACCGTGGTGTTGACTGTGATTCGACCACATTTCTGAAGGCCTTTCCGCCTGAACTCCTGCATCCTAAGCAGGGGCTTCCGATCGTCACATGAGCCAAAGTGCTTTCGTCTTTTACCTTCGGGGGCTCATTAGAGTTTAGGGTTCAAGGGTTAAGGGTTCATTGGGGTTTAGGGTATAAGGATTAAGGGTTTAGGGTGTAGGGTTTCGGGATTGAACCAAAGCCGTGAGCTTGTGGCATACGACCTCCGACCTCCGAGACTTGCGAGGTTCGAGCGTGAGAAAAAGGAGCTCTTATGGAGTTCCCTAAAACTCCCCGGTACTCCCTAATGCTCCCGAAGCTTCCCTAAGGTTCCCTAGGTACCTACCCCCCTTGGACTTGAACCCCCCTCCCTTAAGAACCCGAAAATTCAAGCGTCAGCTAAAAGCAGCTCGAGCCCACTGTTTTCCCTATTGGGCGTTAACTCTGAGAGGCATGGAGGCAGCTGCTTACTCACTTCCCCAAGCCTTGCAGCTGGTCGACAGCAAGCCGGTTGTCAATTTTTGGGCGCCGCAGCCCAAACCCGAAACCCAAGGGTTTAGAGTTTAAGGAAGAACCCAGAATTAGAAACCTGAGAAATCCGAAGCTTCCGAGCCTTGGCAAGCCTTGCTTGAAGCTCTGTGAGGGCAGTCGCCATGGAAGGCATGTTGCCCTTACCTGAAGAAGTTGGGGGGGGGGGGGGGGGCAAATGTTAAACCCTAAAGCCTAAACCCAAAACCTAAAGCCTTAAGCCCTGGGTGTTGGGACATGAGCTGTGAATGGGTTCGGTGACTTGCCCCCACCTCCCACCATTACATCCCCCCCCCCCCTTTACCCCCAACCCCGCTACCCCCCTACCCTCCCCACCCCCCTACCCCCCTACCCCCCCCAACCCCCCTACCCCTCCCGGCACAAGCCACAGCACATCTAACTGGCAGCTGCAAGCCAAGGAGCTTCTGGCGTCGATCTGCCGGCACGCCAGGAGCTTGCGAGCCTGTGTTGGGTTCATAGATGCTTTTTTGGGTTGAGGGTTTAGGGTTTAGGGTTTTGGTTTCTTCGCCGTGGGAGAGGAGGAGGAGGAGGAAACCATCCTCTAAACCCGAAATCCCCTGAAACCCAACCCAGAGCATTAGATAAAGCTGAAGACCGAAACCTGACGCATGAGGGAGAATCAGCAAGGCTTCGGCAACCAGAACTGCCGCCCTGAGACTCCACGTGAGATGTTGGATTGCGCAGAGATGGTCGCAGCAGCCCTGTTCGTTGACAATCGAGGGCGGCGCCGCCTGATAGCACGGCCAGCCGCGTGAAAGAGGCGCTCCAGTGCTGCAGTGCTGGCCGGTTTTGCAAAGAGATTCCAGGGGCAGAATCCGAGAGTAGGGTTTAGGGTTTAGGGTTTCGGGTTTAGGGTTTAGTGTTTAGGGTTTAGGGTTTAGGGTTCAGGGAAAGATTCCGGGGGCATCTGCACAGCTTGGCTCTTCCAGAAGCGCAGTTCATCTCCCAAGCATGTCGCTTGGCTTCGCAGGCGCCCGTCGAAGGCAAGCTCTGCAGCAGCTTCAGAAAGAGGATGGCGCCCTAAACCCTAAACCCTAAACCCTAAACCCTAAACCCTAAACCCTAAACCCCAAACCCTAAACCCTAAATCTACGGGTCTCACACCGGCCGGTGGCCCTAGACACTAAGCTTGGAGCCTTCAGTTGCCAGGCAAGACTCAGAAAGGCCCACCAACCTTTCAATTGTCGGAAGTTCAAAGCTTCAGGTTCTGGGACATGCAGCCTGAACCCTAAACCCTACTGGGTTTAGCGTTTAGGGTTTCGGGTTTAGGGTTAGGGGTTTAGGGTTTAGGGTTTGGGGTTTAGGCAATAATAGGCCATGAAGGAATTCTCGCTGCACCTCCGCCAAGGCTTTGTTGACGGCCTTCTCCAGGGTCATGGTGTGGGCCGTCGCCTCTCCCAGGGTTTAGGGTTTAGGGCTTGGTTTAGGGTTTAGGGCTTAGGGCTTAGGGCTTAGGGCTTAGGGTTTAGGGTTTAGGGTTCAGGGCTCAGGGTTCAGGGTTTAGGGTTTAGGGCTTCGAGTTTCCGCTTAAGGGTTCAAAACCTAGGGATGCGAAGATGTAGCTTCTAAACGTAGTACTCATCATGGTACTCTTCAAAAGACGCTAATGCCGGGCTACAATACCCAAAAGGATTCGTCTTCAAGACCCCCAAAGCCCGCCAAAGCCCATAGAAACGCAAAAGAACAAACCCGGCAAATCCCGGCAAAACCCGAAACAAAAAAAAAAAAAAAAAAATCCGGACACAAACCCTGCACAGTTTCTGTAAGCCCCGGAGAACACCCTCAGCCCCAAACCCTGGGTGAACTTCATTGCTTCCGGGAAAAAAGGGGTGGGTGGAATAACGATAACACGACAACAAAAATAAGGGGGGAGGGTAGTTTGGCACATGCTCTCAAGGCTATGAGCACTACAAGTCCCTTCACTCCCACTTGTGAGAATTTAGGGTTTGGGGATTCTGGTTCATAGTTGGGATAGTAAAATATTTTTAAAATTTTATTCCTTATTGAGTTTAAGTACCCTTAAAAATGTAAAATGTTACCCCACTATGACAAAGGATTAGGGTGACTGCCTGACTCAGCTCAGCAGGAGATAAGACGCAGTCGTCACCGGCCCACTGCTGACCTCTCCAGTGGGCGAAAAGGGCGACAAAGGGCGGGTGGACACTCGAAACCCTAAGCTCGACATCTCAACGCCCTAAGCCCACACTAAACCCTAAATCCTCCATCCTAAAACTCCATTCTGAACTTTGCACGTCCCTAAACCCTAAACTCTAAACCCCAAAAACTCTGAAAGGTCCTGAGCATGCTGAAGGCTGCTGAGCGGCGCGACGCAGCCATGTCTTCCGCGGCGGACTCCACATACGCCACCTGCTTCTCAGCATCTTTCCTGGGACTTGGAGATGCAACCCTAAACCCTAAACCCTAAACCCCAAACCCCAAACCCCAAACCCTAAACCCTTCATAAGTCCCTCTCAACACCCGTTCCTCTGTTAAGCCTCGGAGCCCGACAAGCCCTAATCCCTTTCCCTTCGGGTTTTACGGCTTCAGGCTTGGGGGTGGGGGCTGAAGAATGCGTTTGGTTTAGTGGGGGTGTTGAGGGTTTTGGGCCTCCGGGTCGGTTTTCACCGTCGCCCCCATAGGGTTCAGGGTTTAGGGTATCAACTACAACTAAACCCTAAACCCTAAACCCGAAACCCGAAACCCTAAACCCATGTAGACACAAAGTCCACTTTGAGGTCTAGGGTATGCTTGGCCACATGAGTCTGCTGCAGTGGTGCACAGGACGCAAGGTGCCTGGGCATGGCCTTCAGGTCTGATTTCAGATAACATTCACCCTAAACCCTAAACCCTAAACCCTAAACCCTAAACCCTAAGCCCTAAGCCCTAAGCCCTAAGCCCTAAACCCTAAACCCTAAACCCTAAACCCTAAACCCTAGACCCTAAACCCTAAACCCTAAACCCTAAACCTACACCATAGACCGTTGACCCAAGACCCGAAGCCCGAATTCCTCCACACCCTCAGTGCAGTCTGAAGCATCAGCAACACAAGCGCCCTGCGCTGCGCGATCTTGGCCATCCTGCCAGTACCCTGTAATAAGTGTAGGGTTTAGGGTTTAGGGTTTAGGGTTTAGGGTTTAGGGTTTAGGGTTTAGGGTTTAGGGTTTAGGGTTTAGAAGGGGCTTACTGGAAGTTCAGCGTACTTATAACATAGTTACAAGTGTAGTTATTGACCACTTATGAGCCTCTTAAGTACCCCAATAGGGTTATAATTGGAGCACAAATTGCAAGCATAACTGGGTTACTAAGTACCATGAACCTCCAAGTAATTGTAGTAACATTGCCATGTCACATTTTATCAGAAGATATCAGATTATATCAGATTATATCAGATTCTTTCATGTTCTATCATAAAACAGAAATTTAGATCATGTGGCATCATATTGTACAATGTCATATTATGTTCTACTGTGCTATGCTACATTGCCTTATTGTCTGGGGTTTAGGGTCTCTCAGGGTTTCAAACTCTGGATCTTTGGGGCTTCAGGATTGAGGGCTTCTGAAACCCTAAGCCCTAAACCCTAAACCATGAACCCTAAACCCTAAACCCTAAACCCTTCGAGTTTCAGGGCTTACCCTGCGCGGTGCGAACGCGGGCCGGGGCCAGAGACCCCAAAACCCTCAGGTCCCAAAATCTCAAGAACCGAAATTCCTAAACCCTAAACCCTAAACCCTAAACCTAAACCCTAAACCCTAAACCCTAAACCCCAAGTTGAGTTGAGGCATGTCCTGTGCTCTCGGAACCCTCGATGCCTTTGTCGTGGAATTCTTGAGTATAGGGATGGGGGTGTCTGAACATTTTGGGGCCCTAGCCCCTTGAAGCAGCCCTGAACCCTAAACCCTAAACCCCAAACTCCAAACCCTAAACTCTAAACCCTAAACCCCAAACTGAAAAAACTGTAAACCCAACACCCCTCTAGGGGGGAGGTTCGGGGCCCCCAAGACAAATCTCCCAAAATCGGTGGAGCGCCCCGAGCCCAAACCTTGCACCCACTTATAGTAAGAAAACCCTAACGCCAAATCCTAAATAAGAATCCTCAGCCCTAAACCCTAAATCCTAAACCCTAAACCCTAACCTTTCGCCAATTTCACAGCCACGTGGCAGCTGCTCGCGCTGCTCCTTCAGCTGGGTAAGCTGCTGCTGGAGGTCCTTTTTGGCGGGAGGGTTTAGGGTTTAGGGCTAGGGGCTTGAGGATTTTCTGGGCGTCTGCAGTCTGAAGGCGTAATGCTCAAGTTCAGGTTCCCTCAACCGACGATTCTAGGTGTTGGGGGCTTGGGTTTGGGCAGCCTAGGGGGAAAGGTCTCAGGTTCTACTGTGGGGTTTGTGGTTAAAGGGTTTAGGCCGTTTAGGCCCTTTGTTGATCATAAACGGGATTTAGGGTTTAGGGTTTAGGGTTTAGGGTTTCCACTGAAACCGCCGAAAAAAAGGAGTCAGGACCCACTCTGGGTCCTACCCAGAATCCTAGAAGGATCCAAAGAAGTTTACTCCCCCTCAAGGGTTCCTAAGAATGACCCAATAGTAGTAGAGGGTACCATCTACTTTTTGGATCCTCCCAGAAATCTGGGTAGATGTAGTTAAAAAAGCTCGCCCTAAACCCGAAACCCTAAACCCTAAACCCGAAACCCTAAACCCTAAACCCTAAACCTAAACCCGAATTTCAGAGAGCTGTTCAACCAACGTGGATTCTGCGAAGTCGGCTGTGGGAGCAGATGCGCTAAAACAGGAGGCGCACAAAAACCTTCGCCCTGATTCGGGTAGCCAAGCACATGGACAGATTTTCGGGTTCAGGGGTGTAGGGTTTTGGGTTCGGGGGTTTAGGGTTTAGGGTTTAGGGTTCGGGGGTTTAGGGTTTAGGGTTCGGGGGTTTGAGTTTGGGGTTCAGGGTTTCGGGGTTAGGGCGTCGCCACCCTCATCAGAAAAGAAGCACCCCTGCAGCCCTAAGTGACCCTCAACGCGCATCCCGCGAGAACAAATCTCAGGTTGACATGCATCTGAGCCCCTTCAGCAGCAGAGCCGTTGAGGGTCTAGAGATTAGGGATAAGAGTTTTGGGTTCAGAGGCAGAAGGCCTACGATCCTGCTCTCTGACCAGTTGCGGGTCAAGGTTAAAACCCCTAAACCCTAAACCCTGAACCCAAAACCATGCGCTTTCCTGTGCGTTCTGCAGAAACCCTAAACCCTAAACCCTAAACCCTAAACCCTAAACCCTAAACCCTAAACCTTGAAAAGCCTGGGCCCAGGGGGGCCTGGAACAGCTTGTCTGCAGCCTCCCCGGCTTCCGTGGTGAGTCCTTGGCTTATAAGGGTTTAGGGTTTAGGGTTTAGGGTTTAGGGTTTAGGGTTTAGGGTTTAGGGTTTAGGGTTATACTTTGGAGGTTCAGGGTACTTACAGCCGCACTTCTAGCTGTACTTATAAGCCCCTCAAGTCCCCTAAGTCCTCTAAATTGGATATAAGTAGACTTGTAATTGGGGTTGTAAGTGCCCATGAAACTTCAAGTAGGGTTTAGGATGCATCGAGAGGGTTGTCGGCAGCCAGAATTTGGAGCAAGCGCCAGCCCTACGCGCCAGCGCCACGACACATGCCAGGGTGGCGAGAACCCAGAATTTAGAGGACGGCACCACGACACGCCCCGGTCCTCCGAGCACGACACGCCGCGTCCACCAACAGGGTTGCCAGAATTGCGCGGACGCCCAACGCGCCAGCGCAAACTTGAGGAGCTGCGGCGGCCCAACCCTACCCCGCGCTTCAAAGCATGTTAAAGTTACCAGGAAGCCCACGAAATCCATCACGCCATCCATCACGACATGCATCCATGAATCAACGATAACGAAGAATCTTCTCAAAGACCACCCCCGCTGAAAAAACCCTTCGCCACGCTTTCGGGAAAAACGAAAATCACCGAACATGAAATCCGGAAGTGATTGTCTACTGGGTTTGTAGCCCAAAATCCCTCATCGTTTGGGGCGACAAGTCCCAAAGCTCGATTGAATGCAAAGGGTCGCTTAACTTCCAGCATCTTCATCTGCAAGAAGACAGCAGCCACAGAAACATCCTGTCAAAGTTTCTGGTTAGGATGTAGGGTTCAACCCGAAACCCTAAACCCTAACCCCTAAACCCCAAGCCGTAAACCCTAAACCCTAAGCAAGCCCGACCCAACATGAACAACGATCGCAAGCCTGCAGGCTGTGGGATAAGGTGTATCGTGCCCGATGCTCTGCGATTGGCTGTCAAGGACAAGGTGTAAACAGCACCCCCCCTCCCCCTTGAACGTTAAACCCAAAATGCAATTGGGGTGAGGGTTGGTGCCTCTTTGGTTTCAGGTGCTTGAATTAAGAGCTGGGTTTAGGGTTTAGGGTTTAGGGTTTAGGGTTTAGGGTTTAGGGTTTAGGGTTAGAACCTGTGGCAGTGGTGCATTTGCCATGTGCAGCTTGTAGTCTCAGGTACTTGAAATAAGAACTGCAGAGCACCTGCCTACATGGGCAACTTTTAGTCCCAGGTGCTTGAAGTAAAAATTGGGCAGCTTGTAGTTTCAGGCGCTTGAATGAAGAACTGTAGAGCATTTGGGCAACTTTGGGTTTCAAGTGCTTGAACTAAGAGCTGTAGGGATGTGCCTAAATGGGCAACTTGTAGTTTCAGGCGCTTGAACTGAGAGCTGTAGAGCATTTGCCTAGATGGGCAACTTCTAGTTTCAGGTGCGCGAATTAAGAGCTGTAGAGCACTTGCTTTAATGGGCAACTTTTGACTTCAGGTGCTTGAATTAAGAGCTGTAGAGCATTTTCCTCCTCTTGCCCCGTACCACACCCGAACAAAAAAAAGTAAACGCGAACCAGCAAACACCAAGCTCAGTCGACTATTTTCAATTGCAGCCCTACTGGTGAACCCTGAAGCCCTAAACCCTATACTCAGAGCGGCAAGCATAATCTTAATCACTGTAAGCAGCCTTAACCGCAATTAATAGTAACTTACAATAGCAACAAAATTGCAATCGTAAATTTTCTACGAATACTCGCAACCGAATAAAGAACACGAATTCCAGCAACAACCATAATATCAGGATTCTCAGAAATGTGCACTTGGCTTTGACAAAGGCTTTCAAGCGCGCTTTGGAGCTACGGGTGCAAAGCGGGTTTAGGGGTCTCGACCCAGGAGTAACCTGGGAATAACAAGGGTACCCTTTTTGATGTTAAGGGGGTTGTATGGGAACCCCAACCCAAAAAAAAAGGAAATAAGGGCCTACTCCGGGTTTCGGGGGTTAGGGGTTTGGGGTGCAGGAGTTTTCGGCTTTAGGGGGGTGGGGTTTAGGGGCTTGGGGTTTTGGGGTTGTGGGGTTGTGGCCTAAGGTTCAGCGTCTTGGGTTTTGGGATGCTAGTGGGGTTGAGGCTTTCGGCCCAGTCGGTTTTTCGGCTTCGGACATCTGCCTTGTTGTTTTACCCTATGCCAACTTAACGGCCAAACGCGCAGACCCTGAAGCCTCCTCGCTGCACCCCCCCCTCCCCTCCTCTATTCCCTTCTGGGTTCTAGCAGAGGCCCCCTAAACCCTAAATACCCCCAAAATACCCTAAGTACCCTAAACACCGTAAAACCCAAAGCCCTAGAACCCGAATCCTCGACCACCAGCTAGACTAAACCCTAAACCTTGAACCCTAAACCCTAAACCCTAAACCCTAAACCCTAAACCCTAAACCCTAAACCCTAAACCCTAAACCCTAAACCCTAAACCCTAAACCCTAAACCAACTGCGCCTGCTGCACCTTCGCGGCAATGGTCTCCGAAGCCTTGGTGGCGGCACAGGATTTAGTGCTTCAATTTTTACCCTAGGGTTTAGGGTTTAGGGTTTAGGGCTTAGGGCTTAGGGTTTAGGGCTTAGGGTTTAGGGTTTAGGGTTCAGGGTTCAGGGTTCAGGGTTTTCCGGGTTCAGGGTTGGGATGTTCCCCCTTATACTAACAGTCCTGCATAGGGATTATCATGGGGGTAATATATTCCCTATTAAGGAAATGCCCAAACTACTCAGCTGTATGTACTGAGTATTGTCATGACTATCAAATATGGGCGGGTTTCCGAAATCAGGGGTATCTTATGGGTCCTTATTATCAGGGAATCCTACTCTTTGGGGGTCCCGTATTTTCGCAAACCCCCAAGTGAGTACTAAGTGCTACAAGCTTAGGGCACTGCGCTTGCTCAAAAAAACCCCCCCAAAGATTCGGGAAGTTAGTGATTAGGGTTTAGGGTGTAGGGTTTAGGGCTCGAGACCCAGTAGCCGTCCAGCAGCCGCGTGCTTCCAGCAATACGAACCAGGACAGAACTAGCACCCTAAAAGCTAGACCCCAGCCCAGTAACCAGATTAACTATAACAAGGCTACCCTTCTTTTGGGGTTGGTTACTTGATAAGGGAACCTTGAACAAAAAAAAAGACAAAGGGGTACGTACCAAGCCAAGAATGTCTAACCGGCAACCTCCCAACTGCCAGGGCAAGCCAAGTGGCTTGCAGAGACTTCAGGGCCTCCGCTTGGTCCTCCTTTTGACGTAGGATGCTTGGGTTTAGGGTTTAGGGTTTAGGGTTTAGGGTTTAGGGTTTAGGGTTTAGGGTTTAGGGTTTAGGGTTTAGGGTTTAGGGTTTAGGGTTTCGTGCTTAGGGTTTAGGGCTTGCATGTTCAGGTCTTGTGAAACCTTGGCCCTGCACCCTGACCCCTACTCTTGCACACTGATACGTGGCGTCAGGGCTTTGAGCCTCCTGCGGTTGTCCGCGGGCTTTACAGTGTTTGTTCGGCGGGTTTTGGATTTGGGGCTTAGGCAGCCCTAAACCCTAAACCCTAAACCCTAAACTCTAAACCCTATAAACCCTAAACCCTAAACCCTAGCTGGTAAACAACGCCCTAAGCCCGCGAACCAGGCTGGAAGTTGGCCACGCCCGCACCCGAAACCCCAAATCGTGAGAAACACAATGCGGTTTAGGGTTTAGGGGTTCAGGGTCCTGAGAAACAACATGCGTTTCATGGTTCAGGCATTTAGGGTCCTGAGAAACAACATGTGTAGGTTTGGGGTTTAGGGGTTTAGGGGTTTAGGGGTTTAGGGGTTTAGGGGTTTAGGGGTTGAGGGGTTGAGGGGTTGAGGGGTTGAGGGGTTGAGGGGTTGAGGGGTTGAGGGGTTGAGGGGTTGAGGGGTTGAGGGGTTGAGGGGTTGAGGGGTTGAGGGGTTGAGGGGTTGAGGGGTTGAGGGGTTGAGGGGTTGAGGGGTTGAGGGGTTGAGGGGTTTAGGGGTTTAGGGGTTTAGGGGTTGGAGGTTTGCTACCCCCTGAAAACCAAATCCCAGTCCTCACTTTCCAACGACGCATGTACCGCCTTGGCGCACTCGCCGGGCGAGGGGGTGGATGTGGGGCCTAAACCCTAAACCCTAAACCCTGAACCCTGAACCCTAAACCCTAAACCCTAAACCCTAAACCCTAAACCCTAAACCCCCTAAACCCCCTAAACCCCCTAAACCCCCTAAACCCCCTAAACCCCCTAAACCCCCTAAACCCCCTAAACCCCTAAACCCCGAAACCCGAAACCCCAAGGAGAGGCTCGGAGTTCAGAGAGGGTTCCACCCCCCCTTCCCCTAAAGAAAAACCCTCCGTTTTCGAGCTCGTTTGTGGGATCAGGGGCTTAGGTGTTCAGGTCCTAAGCCCTAAAACCTACTCTCTTAACCCTAACCCTAAACCCCTAACCCTAAACCCCAAACCCCAATCCCTAAACCCTCAAGGGGACTTGCGAAGCAATCAGCGGTCCAGTGTCGTAGCAGTAGTGGCAGAAGGAGCCTTGAGAAGAGTAGCCTTGTAAATCCATCCATTTGGGTTTAGGGTTTAGGGTTTAGGGTTTAGGGTTTAGGGTTTAGGGTTTAGGGTTTAGGGTTTAGGGTTTAGGGTTTAGGGTTTAGGGTTTAGGGTTTAGGGTTTAGGGTTTCAGACGATGACTTCCTACCATGTACCCAAGGACTCCCCTCCAACGCCCCATAACCCACTCCGCACCTCCAATCTCTGCAGGGCTTCCGCAATTGCCTTGGCTGAAATCAGGTCGCGCCGTAGCGCATATACGGCAAGATGCGCCGGGGCTTTGGGTTGGATTCTTTAACCTCGCCACTCTGTGTTGGTTGAGTGATATTGCCAACAAAGGCTCAAGCTTGGCAGGCGGTGTGGCGCTGACAGAGAGTTGGCTGTCATCTAGGTAGATGCAGACGTGCTTGTGACAGTGATGCAGCATGTCTAGACATGCGGATGACCGTCCGAACTAGTTCCCGGACCCTGCCACTCAGATCCTGCAAGCAGAGTGAAGACATGTAGCCATGACAGGAAACAGCCGCAGTCGGCACTGGACAGATGAGAATGGCACGATGGGAAACGCCGAAAGGAGGAGTAAGACAGTAGCGTGCTTCCTGCTACAGAATCTGGGAACAACTCTGGCACGTCTACTGAGCTCTGCATAAGTTGCTCAACTTCTTCGGTCAAGCTGTGCCTGTGGTACGCGGGGCTACTACTCTGCACTTAGGGTTGAAAGGGTTGCCCCCCAAAACCTCAAGTGATCAGCTGTTGGAGTTTAGCGCACGCTCCTGACTCCGTGAATCCTGAACGAATGCTAAAGCAGAGAAGGTGCTTGCAGCTTGCAGCGTGCCTGCAACGCGGAGGCCATGAACCCACACGCGCCCAAATCTGATGCCCAAACATCGAAGTCAGGCAGCCCTACACGCAACAAGACATGGGCTACAACACTGGGTAATCAATGTCACGCAGCAGCTGAACTGACTCACAACAGCAAAAAAACTGAAAATCATCTATTGGGTAGTTTGTATCTGTGAGATCCGCTACTATTGCTGTGGCGACAGCAGCAGCCCACAGAATGATACTAGCTACGATGTGACAGCATTTGGCGGTGAAGATCCGACCCAAAGCAAGGAGCTTCAGATCCTCGGGGACGAAAAGAACCCTGAAAGGGTTTATGGTTCACATACCTTCATGGGAATCAGTAAGGGAGTATGAGCCCCATGTCTATGGTTCATATACCTTAATGGGAATTACAGTAGTAAGGGAGAATGACCCCCATTTTAGGGTTCATTTGGTCCCTTAAGGATTGGAAATGTGCACCTGCATGAAGCTGCAAGCGATCTCCCACAGGAGCGTCACCCCCCACAGGAAAACATGTCCATCCACTACTAATTGCTTAAGAACCCCGAAAAAACATAAATATTCTTCCTTATTAAGGGCAATATAGGGATTATTTTGTGTTTTTATTCTTTTGGGGTTCTTAAGCAAATAGTAGTATTTGCACGGACGAGTAAAGTCGAAGAATGAAGGCGCGGAAACCTTCATCGCCCACAAACAAGGGCGACTCCAGACGTGCAACGAAGACTTCTGCGAGAACCTGCGATTCTGGCCGGGGAAGAAACACCCTAAACCCTAAACCCCTAAACACCTAAAACCCCCCTAAAACCACCCCCTAAAACAATTGCAGGCCCCAGCACTGCATCGAACGTCAAGACGGGATCATCCCAACCCACCGCGAGCAGATTCGAAGCAACTCGCGGGCGAAAGTGTTTAGGGTTTAGGGTTGAGGGTTTAGGGAAGTGCAAGTGGGGTTGTGGGCTTTAGGGTTTTAGGTTTTTTTGGTTTTGGGGTGTAGGGTTTGGGGTTAGGGTTTTGCATCCTAAGCCCGAAGCCCCAAATACACTGAGCTTTTCTTGTTTTTTTTTTTTTTGTTTGGGGGGGGGGGGGGTTGAGCCGAGGACTTCTGTTTGTAGCTGGCCCGCCTCTGCCAGGTATCCGCTTGTCAAGAACCTGTCCTGCAAGATCTGAATCCCTGTTCCCCTAGGAAGAAAAAAGGATCCTTTTGTTCATATATAAGAAAGCCCATAACCCAAAAAGTAAAAAGGATCCCTAACACTGATCGAGAGAATGTTCGGGGTCAGGGCTCAGGTTCCGCACCTTGAGCTGCCAACCTCAAGTCCTCACTGACCTAAATCCAAAACCCAAAGCCCTAAACCCTAAACCCTAAACCCTAAACCCTACTAAACCTCAAACCCCAAACCCTAAACCCTAAACCCTAAACCTTAAACCCTAAACCCTAAACCCTAAACCCTAAACCCTACTAAACCCCAAACCCCAAACCCCAAACCCCAAACCCCAAACCCCAAACCCCAAACCCTAAACCCTAAACCCTAAACCCTAAACCCCAAACCCAAAACAGCCCCAAGGCCTCCAAAGCAAAAGGCAGGGTTTGGGAGCTCAAGATTTCAAAGCCGCCTCTTTTGGTCTTGGGGGGTCTTGTACACTCCAAGGCACCCTTTGCAGGAACAAGCAGGGCATAGGGTTTAGGGATTAGGGTTTAGGGTAGTTACATGGTCCCTTGATATGGGCTCTTAGAAGGGGACCCCGCATATACCCTGTACCCAAGGGCCCATACTTCGAGAATCCTTTAAAGGAAGTAAGGGACCTTACCAAGGTTCTGTGAAACTACCCTTAGACAACCCCAACAGCCGAAGGGTTCGGGTTCAGGGTTTGGCCCCTATAAACCCTCGGAAAAACCCTAAATCTGAGCCTCTTGAACCCAATAAAAGGGAACCCCAAAGGGCCTACCCACGTCGGGTTCAAGGCTTTAACCCTCAAGTCCCTACCCCGAAAACCCTCAAATCCCACTCCAGGAACTTCAGGTTTTCCGGGATGTATGGTTGAAGGGGGCTCGACCCAAAAGCCTCATCCGAGCTTTGACGAAACTTGGGCCAAGATGGGTTCAGAGTTTACGGTGCAAAGAACCAAACACTCGCGCACCCCCCCCCCCCCGCCTCACCGCTGCCCCCCCCCCCCCCCCCCCCCCCCCTGCCCCGACCCCTCCTCCCGAATTTGGGTTTCGTTGTTTTTGCTTCCCACGTTTGTTGAGGAACTTATGGATATTCTTGGAGCCCATAGATAGAATGTTTGAGGAACCCATAGAATATTTCAACCCATACATAGAACATTTGCGGGGGGGGGGGGGGGATCATGAAAAATCTTCGGGATGTCATGACTTGTATTGCGCCCTCCCCCGAAGAGAGCACCTCCAACTCCTGAGGGAACCCATAGATAGAATGTAGTTGACTCCGACCCCTAGGGCGCCTTTTCGCCCTAAACTTTTAAGGCCAATATTCCATCTATCGTTTTGGGTTTTTGATATTCCATAAATCGTTTTGGAAAGGGTGGTTTTTTGTTGTCGGATTTTGAAATATGTTATCTGCTTAAGGATGCCTATATAGCCAGGTAGCTAAAGCACTTACAGTAGCCCACAACACAGAAATACCCCGCGATGCTTGCGTTGAGATCCCTGGCCCCAAATCGTAAACCCTAACCCCTAAACCCTCTTCAGGACCTAGAGAGCTTCGGGTCCCTTTGCATCTGAGGCCTCGGTCCTCCAAGTTTCTGAGCTGCTCTTCAAGCGTGCACTGCCTGGGGTGTGTTTGGGGTGTAGGCTTTTGGGGTTTCAGGGTCTAGGGCCTAGGATTTGAAAAGTTTGGGTTTAGGGTTTGGGGTTCACAATGAGGGTTTAGGGGTTCTGTTTGGGTTTAGTAAGGGACCCTCGGGGTTATGTAGGGACTGTTTTTGGGATCACTGAGGGTTTAGGGTTTCGGGCTGAAGGGGCCGGTCGAAGCGGGCTCGGGACTCAGAAGATGAAAGGAGCCGTGGAGTGGACCCTAAACACCAAACCGTACAGGAAGGACAGTTGTGAGGTTGAGTGTTCGAGGTATCTCTGAAACCCTACACCCTGAACCTAACTCTGGGCCATGTTAATCATGCCAAGCACTACATGAGGGTTGGTCTAGGACTTGGCCTAAGCCTTCCTAAACCCTAAACCCTAAACCCTAAACCCTAAACCCCAAAGCCCCCTAGCAGGCCATAGATGAGCCCCGGACAAAGACATGCCAGCATGCCCCCTAAGGATGTAGACGTTGATTCGGGATCCGATAGCCTTACTGCAGAGAATGTCGCGTCCAACTCTGCAGCCTAAACCCTGGAAACTTGAAGTGTCTCTCAACTAAGCTTCCAAATCTTGAGCTCCTAAACTCCCTCTCCCCGCAATCTCCCGGCAATATGCGAAACCTCCTTCAGAATACATCGTGCCATGTACCTTAAAGCCCATTGTCTTGCGCATTGCCATACTACGAAATCAGAATGATCTACTAGAACGTAAGACACAGGCACAAGGTTTCAAAGCTATTCCCAGAGGTGTTTTGAAAAAGCCCGCCTAGGACCCCAAGCCCTAAACCCAAGGGTTCAGGTTACCCAAAGCCCTAAACAAACCCTAAACCCAAACCTTATGCCGAAAGCTCAAAAACCCTAAACCCAGCCCGTGGAACCCTTGCCTTAATACTGCAAAGATGCCGCGACTGAACCGCCTCGAGACGCGGCTGCAGCGTTTCCAGTGCCTGCCTGGGTTTAGGGTTTAAGGTAGATTCGAAGAATAAGTCAACATACCCCAAACCTACCCCTTAACCTATAAAAGGAGGCTTTCAGGAAGGTTCCCACACCCCTAAATTTCTCTTAAGGGGCATGCCAGCGGGTATGTTGAATATTTCTTAGATAAATAAATACGGCCTTGTATTTCAGGTAGCCGCCAGCGCCTGCACGGTTCTGCAACTATACTTGACCGCCTAACCTTTGGCAATGTTTCACCTCTTTAGGATCCGCAGGATACACTTTACCGCCAAGAAACATCAGCAGCACGTGGTTGGCCATACGTATATGGGACCATATGGGAGTTTATGAAATCAGGGCTAAGGGCTTCCCTTATGATAGGGCGGTGCGGCATCAAGTCGCTCTAGCATCGCCTCTTCGACATGTTACTCAAAGCCCCAAACCCCCAAACCCCAGTCCAATCCCAGGCCCAATTCTCTAAACCCTAAACCGTAAATCCAAAATCCTAAACCCTAAATCTTAAACCCTAAGTCCTAAATCCTAACCCCCGCCCCCGGCCCCCAGCCCTCAACAATTCGGCTTCAAACCACGTTGTTGCTTAAAAATACCGGTTTGGGGGTTGTTGTGGGTTTAGGGTTTCGGGTAGAGAGCCAACCACGCAATATTTGAGCCCCAAACTGTCATCGGAGTCCTAAACCCTAAACCCTGCACCCTAAATCCTAAGACGTACTAAGGCATATTCCTTCATTAGAGGGCGCGGGGCTCTCCGTGCACCTTTGATCATTCGACTCCTAGGTCCCAGATTTGAGAACCGTGTCACTTACACTGGGAGCCTTCCACTTGGGATTCCCCCCCGCCCCCTTGCACTAACAGTCCTTAATAGGGATTGTAATAGGGGGGGGGGGGGGGGGGGTGTTATGATCCCTATGAATGACTGCTAGCAAAAGGGGGGGACATCCCAAACCCTAACCCCTAAACCCTAAACTTCGTCTAAGGGGCAACATCCCAACCTACAACGCCTTCAACGTTTTCCCGTAGCTCCAGACGAGTTTTCTTGCATTGGCAACCACTAAAATCCGGCCCGAGCGGCTGTCCGAGGGGAGTGTTCCTTTCACACCAGCTAGGTTTAGGGTTTAGGGTTTAGGGTTTAGGGTTTAGGGTTTAGGGTTTAGGGTTTAGGGTTTAGGGTTTAGGGTTTAGGGTTTAGGGTTTAGGGCTTAGGGCTTAGGGCTTTAGGGTTTAGGGTTTAGGGTTTAGGGTTTAGGGCGAAAGCCCTGAACCCTAAACTCTCAGCTGCGGCTCAAGACTCTGGTGTCCTGACGATGCAACTTGAAACGCTGAGTTGATTACAAGCCCAAGCGAAGGAGCTTCTAGGGTTTAGGGTTTCGGGTTTAGGGTCTGAGTGAGGGTTTACGAAAATAAGGGACCCCTAGTATAGGGCCCCCCCCCCCCCAAATAGTACGATTAAATGGGACGATTCCCTAAGGGACCCCCAATTTCTGAAACCCTTAAAAGGATTTGGGGATCACCGTTAAACCCTTTTTACTTACCCTTTGAAACCCCTTTAAACCCTTCTCAAAGCGCTCTGAGCCCGAAAACCAGATGTAGTGTTTGTTTAGTGTTTAGGGTTTAGGGTTTAGGGTTTAGGGTTTAGGGTTTAGGGTTTGGGGTTTAGGGTTTAGGGTTTAGGGCGTGTAGGTCTTCAGATCTACTTGTAAAACCTCTGGAAGATCCAAACTTGCCTCGGAAGCCTTTATGGTTTAGGGGGTTTAGGGTTTAGGCTTTAGGGTTTAGGGTTTAGGTTCATGGCTTAGGGGCTTATAGGGCTCAGGGTTGTGTATGCACATAGACATCATGGAAGGTCTCTTTCAAGGGGCTCCTTTTTGGGAAGCAAAGCTGAAACGCAAGTGGCCTATGAACCCTACACCCTAAACCATATTCCTGAATATGGATCCTCTTAAACCTAGTTCATTATTGGGATAATGTTAAAATTAAATTTGTTATTCCTTATTGGGTTTAAGTACCCTTAAAAATGTAAAATGTTACCCAACTATGACAAAGAAACCCAATAAAGGGAAAATATTACATGTCCCCAGGGCCTACCTAGCTGGACCCCTCAACGTGCCCCTGCCGGCGGGGCTCTGAAGCAGCGCCTTGCGCGAGTTCAGGTGGCCTGGTCGTCAGGGCTTAGCATCCTTCGATCAGACAATTTTTATCGAGGTTTGGGGTTTAGGGTTTCCCTTTAAAGGCTTTCAGGGTTTCGATTTTAGGGACAGGTTCAGGGCCCATGTAACCCCTCTGAAACCTTCCTAAGCAAAGGCGGCTTCCAGACACCCCGAACTTCCCGAGCCCCCCAAGAAGCAAGGAATGCCAAAGACATGCATGTTGGGCTTCGGCTAAGCCTAAGCCGCCCTAAGCCGCCCTAAGCCCCTCAACCCCAAACCCCAAACCCCAAACCCCAAACCCCAAACCCCAAACCCCAAACCCCAAACCCCAAACCCCAAACCCTAAACCCCAAACCCCAAACCCCAAACCCCAAACCCTAAACCCTAAATAACCCTAAACCCCAAACCCCAAACCCCAAACCCTAAACCCTAAACCCCAAACCCCAAACCCCAAACCCTAAACCCTAAACCCCAAACCCTAAACCCCAAACCCCAAACCCCAGACCCCAAACCCTAAACCCCAAACCCGAAACCCGAAACCCTAAACCCTAAACCCCAAACCCCAAACCCCAAACCCCAAACCCTGAACCCTCTTTCAGCCGGCTTGCTGGAGGCAGCTGTGACTGCGCGCTCCACGGAACGGACGGCCTTCTTGGCGTCACCCACCAACCTCGGGTCGGCTTCGGATAGGGTTTAGGGTTTAGGGTTTAGGGTTTAGGGTTTAGGGTTTAGGGTTTAGGGTTTAGGGTTTAGGGTTTAGGGTTTAGGGTTTAGGGTTTAGGGTTTAGGGTTTAGGGTTTAGGGTTTAGGGTTTAGGGTTTAGTGTGTAGGGTTTAGGGTTTAGGGTTTAGGGTTTAGGGTTTAGGGTTTAGGGTTTAGGGTTTAGGGTTTAGGGTTTAGGGTTTAGGGTTTAGGGTTTAGGGTTTAGGGTTAGGGTTTAGGGTTTAGGGTTTCGGGTTTCGGGTTTCGGGTTTAGGGTTTAGGGTTTGAGGTTTCTGGTTTCGGGTTTAGGGTTTAGGGGATCAAGATTAGGGTCTGCAGGGCATGGGATTGAGACTCCCTAAGCCCTAAGACATGGGTCGTGAGGTCACTGGAAGCTGGGGGCGTTGGAAGGGTTTAGGCTTTAGGGTTTGGGGTTTAGGGTTTTAGGGTTTAAACCCTAAACCCTAAACCCTAAACCCTGTACCTGTACCCTAAACCCTAAACCCTAAACCCTAAACCCTAAACCCTAAACCCTAAACCCTAAACCCTAAACCCTAAACCCTAAACCCTAAACCAAACCCACACTCTGGCAAGCCATGGAGTTCAAAGGGCTCGGTGGGCAGTTCTTAGTGTAGAGAGAACTAGGTATCCAAGGTTTAGGAGCCCTTAGAGGGTTTAGGGTTTAGGGTTTAGGGTTTAGGGTCCCTTGGAGGCTTTATGGTCAGTTGTCTAATTATGGGCCCTCTCGGGGTCACAGGTGGCCCTGACTATTTACAGTACCCAAAAAGGAGCAGAACTTTGAGAACTGACCATATAGAGGGATATAGACATATGTATATGTATATATAAATATAAATATAAATATAAATATAAATATAAATATAAATATATATATATATGGTACCCAACTCCGTCATTCCTCACTAAGAACCAGCAAATATAGGGTGGTGAGGCATCCGGTTTGTAGGCGTGTGGTGGGCTACGCATGTGGTTCGCGAAAGCCTGTGTCCTCTCATCCCACATAAGAAGCTATACCTGTGCCAGCGGCTTCGAAGACAACGCACATGATGTCAACGCCCTAGCCTTGCCCACTTTTCGCCAAGATAAAATTGGCCAAGCGGCTAGACCATCAACCCCAAACTCAAAACTCCAAACCCTAAACCCTAAACCCAAAACCCAAAACCCTAAAGCATCAGGGCAACTTCACTGGAAACCTAAACCCTAAACCCTAAGTCCTGAGCCCTAAACCCGAACTCGACTGCTAGACCCAGGCCTAGCTGCTGAGCTCATAGGCCCCCCCCCCCCCCCCCCAAAAAAAAAAAAAAAAAGAAAAAAAGTGCACACTTTCAGTTCCATAGTCCCACAAAGTGCAGAGTGGCACTATTCAGCTACTACGTAGCCCTAAACCCTAAACCCTAAACCCTAAACCCTAAACCCTAAACCCTAAACCCTAAACCCTAAACCCTGAACCCTAAACCCTAAACCCTAAACCCTAAACCCTAAACCCTAAACCAAGGAAGCCAGGCGGCTCCTGGGTGATGGCATTTGCGTCGCTGATGTCCTCAATACCCTAAACTGGGTGGATCATAAGAAAAAAAGGGCTAATCGCAATCCGTTATCCGCCTAATCCGCGTTGGTGGGTCAATGTGTCCTAATCCGTAATCCGTTGCCTGGATCCAGTCCTAATCCGCTATCCGTTTCTCTAGCTCAGGGCATGTGGTTCGTAGCCATTTTGCTTGCTGCTGTGCTGGGAAGGCCCTAAAATCACTACTAGCAGAGGGGGGGCGGGGGCGGGTTGCGGGCGAGCCAAAAAGGTACCTTTTCTCGGGTTCACTCTTCGTTGCGGGCGGGCGAAAAGGACCTTTTTTCGGCTTCAGCAGAGCCAAAGACTCCAAAAAAGGTACCTTTTCGCTGCGAGCGAGCGAAAGGTATCTTTTTTCGGCTCTGCTGACCAAAGACTCCAAAACATGTACCTTTTCGCTGCAACCAACGAAAGGCACCTTTTTTCGGCTTCAGCAGAGCCAAGGACTCCAAAAAAGGTACCTTTTCGCTGCGAGCAACCAAAAGGTACCGTTTTTCGGCTTCAGCAGAGCCAAAAACTCCAAAAAAGGTACCTTTTTCGCTGCGGGCGAGCGAAAGGCACCTTTTTTCGGCTTCAGCACTCCAAACAAGGTACCTTTTCGCTGCGGGCGAGCGAAAAGGTACCTCTTTTCGGCTTCAGAGCCAAAAACTCCAAAAAAGGTACCTTTTCGCTCCGGGCGAGCGATAGGTACCTTTTTTCGGCTTCAGCAGAGCCAAAGACTCCAAAAAATGTATTTTCGCTGTGGGCGAGCGAAAAGGTACCTTTTTTCGGCTTCAGCAGAGCCAAAGACTCCAAAAAAGGTACCTTTTCGCTGCGGGCGAGCGAAAAGGTACCTTTTTTTCGGCTTCAGCAGATCCAAAAAAGGTGCCTTTTCGCTGCGGGCGAGCGAAAAGGTACATTTTTTCGGCTTCAGCAGAGCCAAAGACTCCAAAAAAGGTACCTTTTCGCTGCGGGCGAGCGAAAAGGTATTTTTTTCGGCTTCAACAGAGCCAAAGACTCCAAGTAAGGTACCTTTTCGCTGCGGGCGAGCGAAAAGGTACCTTTTTTCCGGTTCAGCAGAGTCAAAGACTCCAAAAAAGGTACCTTTTCGCTGCGGGCGAGTGAAAAGGTACCTTTTTTCGGCTTCAGCAGAGTGAAAGACTCCAGAAAAGGTACCTTTTCGCTGCGGGCGAGCGAAAAGGTACCTTTTTTCGGCTTCAGCAGAGCCAAAGACTCCGAAAAGGTACCTTTTCGCTGCGGGCGAGCGAAAAGGTACTTTTTTTCGGCTTCAGCAGAGCCAAAGACTCCAAAAAAGGTACCTTTTCGCTGCGGCGAGCGAAAAGGTACCTTTTTTCGGCTTCAGCAGAGCCAAAGACTCCAAAAAAGGTACCTTTTCGCTGCGGGCGAGCGAAAAGGTACCTTTGTTTCGGCTTCAGCAGAGCCAAAGACTCCAAAAAAGGTACCTTTTCACTGCGGGCGAGCGAAAAGGTACCTTTTTTCGGCTTCAACAGCGCCAAAGACTCCAAAAAAGGTACCTTTTCGCTGCGGGCGAGCGAAAAGGTACCTTTTTTCGGCTTCAGCAGAGCCAAAGACTCCAAAAAAGGTACCTTTTCGCTGCGGGCGAGCGAAAAGGTACCTTTTTTGTGCTTCAACAGAGCCAAAGACTCCAAAAAAGGTACCTTTTCGCTGCGGGCGAGTGAAAAGGTACCTTTTTCGGCTTCAGCAGAGTGAAAGACTCCAAAAAAGGTACCTTTTCGCTGCGGGCGAGCGAAAAGGTACCTTTTTTCGGCTTCAGCAGAGCCAAAGACTCCAAAAAAGGTACCTTTTCGCTGCGGGCGAGCGAAAAGGTACCTTTTTGCGGCTTCAGCAGAGCCAAAGACTCCAAAAAAGGTACCTTTTCGCTGCGGGCGAGCGAAAAGGTACCTATTTTCGGCTTCAACAGAGCCAAAGACTCCAAAAAAGGTACCTTTTCGCTGCGGGCGAGCGAAAAGGTACCTTTGCGAAAAGGTACCTTTTTTCGGCTTCAACAGAGCCAAAGACTCCAAAAAAGGTACCTTTTCGCTGCGGGCGAGCGAAAAGGTACCTTTTTTCGGCTTCAGCAGAGCCAAAGACTCCAAAAAAGGTACCTTTTCGCTGCGGGCGAGAGCCAAAGACTCCAAAAAAGGCGGCTTCGACTTGGAGACCCCCCCCTTGACTCCCAATCAAGATTCCAAAAAGCTCCGTTGGGGATTCGAGCTCAGGGCTGATGGGTCAGAGCCCAACCGCTATGCCACTGGATCAAAGTTTCCTTTTAAAATGCCCCTCCTAATCATTGGGCATTGCTTGTGAACAGGTCAGTTCAGTTCAGGGCAGTGGGTTAAGCCTTTGCAAGTCAACCGCGGTTTGGAGTTTGGGGGTTAGAATTTAGGGTTACCCCCTCCCACCCAAAGGTGCCTCGTCGCCAAAAAAAAATATGAAGACGACGAAGTGCACGCCGGTGAGCAGCGGAGGGTTTAGGGTTCGGGGTTGTCAGGCTTATTTCCCGTTATTTTTTCCGTCGTTGCGTCGCTAATTTTCTTAATTTCATTGTTTTCCGTCGTTTCCGTCGCACAATTTTTGCGGCCTTGCCAGCACAGAAGCAACCAAGCACAGAACGCAAACACTGCTAACTGGTAGTAGCCGACCAATGAAGCGTCTAATCGCAAACCGTTGTAATCCGTAATGTTCTCATCCGCAAACCGCCTAATCCGCAAACCCCCTAAGGATTGAAGATTACTTAGGATCCACCCAGCTAAACCCTGAACCCTAAACCCCAAACCCTAAACCCTAAACCCTAAACCCTAAACCCTGAACCCTAAGCCCTAAACCCCCCGAAACTCCAAACCAATCGGGGCCCAGATTTGTTTTGGGATGTCTTTTTCTTTTGTTTTGCTGTTTTTTCTAGGCTTTAGGGTTTAAGTTTTTGGGTTTAGCGTTTAGGGTTTAGTGGGAAGCAAAGCAAAAACAAAACATAAAAGCATCAGAAGCCTAAGCGAAGAGAGATCAGACCGAAGGCGGGGAAAAGCAGAAAGCAAGAGGCAGAAAGCAAAAAAAATCAAGAAACACAAAGCACATTCCTAAAATAATTCAGTTTCCCCCTATAGCCCTACAACTCTCCAGTGCTAAAGCCTCTACTTGGAGGTTCATGGGACTTACTAACCAATTCTAACTGTACTTATAACCCTACTTATAATACCCCTAAAGGGCCTTATAGGGGTTATCCCAATTATAAGTAGGGCTATAAGCCCAGCTATAAGTGGTTAGTAAGTACCATGAACCTCTAAGTACTCCTGGCACCGGCTCACGAGTTGGTTGTGCCCTGCCTGCTTTGTGCGTGTTCTGCAGGGTTTAGGGTTTGGGGTTTAGGGTTTAGGGTTTAGGGTTTTCTGCCCCCCAGACCCCTTCATTCAGGAGAAGGCCTTCGTTCGTATTCGGATCCCTATGATGATCTACCAGAAGTGCTGAAAAAAACACGTCACAACTGAACAACCCCTGAAACCCTAAAACCCTAACCTGAACCCAAAGCCCTAAAACCCTCAAACCCCAAACCTAAGACCTTAAGCCTGAAACCCTCAAACTCTCAACCCTCAAGCCCCAAACCCTATACCCCCAAACCCCGAAGCCGAACTTAGCAACGGCCACTGTGCCGCAATCCCTGGATCATAGTAGGGAATGAGGGCCCTATATATACCCTTTAAGGGATTATGTAGGGCCCTCCCTGCTAAGAACCAGCCAGTGGCAAAGCCAGCAAAGATTCCTGCAAGATGACCCCTGTCTGCTCGGCCTCCACCTGCTTGCAAGCACCACTTCTTAGGGTTTAGGGTTTAGGGTTTAGGGTTCAGGGTTCAGGGTTTAGGGTCTAGGGTTTAGGGTTTAGGGGGGGGTTTTACGGCTTATATAGGGTTTAAGGTTTCCAGGGTTCAAGGTTTCCTGGGTTTAAGGCTTTCTCAGGATAGGGCTCAGGTCTTGATTTCTGGCCGCGCGTGCTTTGTTTGTTTCTTCCGCAGTTTCATCTTGCTTGACATGGTGCTGTCGGTCTTGCCCTAAACCCTAAACCCTAAACCTTGATCTGCCATCGATTTTTTCAACCTCAGGCTTCGTGACGTGTTTCCTCGTCGCATGGAGCATCTTCTTGGCCAAGCCTTCTGGCTCTTTTAGAGGTGGGCTATATGTGCACCCACAGGCTACGTAACTCCAAAAATGTCGACAGCAAAGAAGAAACCAAAGGCCACCAGCTCAGAACCTCAGGGGTTGCAGCTGCTCTCTGGCATTTCTTGGCTTTGGGGAGGACCTGGTGGAGCTCCGGGCGGCCAACCGGGTGACAAGGGTTGTGGGTTTCGGAGCCTAAGCAACAAACCTGAAGCCTAAATCCTTGTGACCCCTTGTGTGTGCAGACACACCTCAGCCGAGATGCCCTAAACTCGAACCCCAAACTAGGGTCTCATTGTGAAGCCTTCTTGGTCCACGGCCCTAAACCCTAAACCCTAAACCCTCCTTGGGAAGCGAGGATGGAGGACCTATGACGCTTGAGTTCGAGTCGAAGGGCCTGAAACTCAAAGGGGGTTGAGGGTTCAGGGTTCAGGGTTTAGGGTTTGGGGTTTGGGGTTTTGAGGTTTAGGGGTTTAGGGCTCAGGGTTAATTTTCAGGGTTCGTTTCAAGGTTTGTGCGGTTGCTTGCAAGGGGTTGCCTGAAGTTGTTGTTCTTGACAATATCAACTTTTGTTTGGGGGATCTCTTCCCAACCCGCCTCCGCGAGCACGAGCTTTTGCTCCACCTGCGTGATGACCTTTTGGCACGTCCGCCTTTGGCACCGTCAATCCGGGTTGGAATGGGTCTGGGTGTTTTGAACTAAAAAACCCCTAAACCCTAAACCCTAAATAAACCCTAAACCCTAAACCCTAAACCCTAAACCGCTAAACAGTTTAGGATTTAAGGTTTAAGTATGACGATGTTTCCAGCCGTGGGTTCTTTGAAGCCCCTCCAGAAGTTAAGGTGCAAAGGTTCGGGTTTAGGGTTTAGGTCTAGGCTTTAGCGTTTAAGATGTTGAGGTCTTCGGGTTTCGATGCGAAGCGCTAGGGTTCTACAGCTTTAAGGCTTACGATTGGGCGATAACCCTACAGCCGAAACCCCAAACTTGAAGGGAAAAGCCAAGCATAAAGTCTACTTAAGTGTCAGGATGCAGTTTGGGGGTTGCGGGCTGCGTTCTCTCTCAGCGGAAAGAGGGTTAAGATTTGGGGGGTTTTAAGGCGGTGCACCGTGCACCCCACACCCTTGGGGCCCTTGGGTGTTAGAAGTTAAGATACCCTAAACCCTAAACCCTAAACCCTAAACCCTAAACCCTAAACACCAAACCCTAAACCCTAAACCCTGGGAGATCCAAAATGCATGCCCATGGTCTCCACAATTTCAACTCCCTTGCAAGGGCCTGCGGATGATGAAACGCGAATCCCTAAATCCTAAACCCTAATCCCTAATCCTAAACCCGAAACCCTAAACCCGAAACCCTAAACCCGAAACCCTAAACCCTAAACCCTGAACCCCTAAACGCTTAAGCCGCAAACCCGCAACCCCAAACCCCGGGCCTTCGATCCCAATCTTGGCGCGCCGTCTTCAGCGGCTGCAGCTGGACCTGACGCTTTGCAGTTCCGCTTGGGGTTTAGGGTTTAGGGTTTAGGGTTTCGGGTTTAGGGGCTTCGGGTTCAGGGCTTTAGGATTGAGGGTTTAGTGTTTCGGGGTGTAGGGTTGGGATGTTTCCCTCTAGACTCTCAGTCATGAATGGGGATTCCAATAAGGGCTTACACATATCCCTATAAAGGACTGTTTACAACACAAGGGGGAACATCCCAAGTTTCGGGCTTATAGATTGGCACTTCTGAACCCAGTGACAGCTGTACTTGACCAGACCCGGGAGTAACCTAGGAAGAAGAAGGGTGCCCTTTTAGGTTTTAAGGGGATCATAAGGGAACCCCAACCCTAAAAAAAGGAAAAGAGGGCCTACTCCCGGTCCCAGTTAAACATCCTCGCGATGTTCTCAGAGGCTGTACCCTCGACTCGAGACCCTAAAACCTCGAGCCCCTAAACCCCTGACATAATCCTGTACTAGTAAAAGCATGTTCCTAACTATTAATGAAAAGAAATAGATCAATAATAAGAGTAGCCACAATGATGGCAGTCATGTGAACCTCCGAGATCCTGAACCTGGACTCTTAAACATGTCTGAGAGTTTGAGGTCTTCATGGATTACGTTGTCGAGGGCTTTCAGGGCTGCAAAGGGCTTTAGGGCTTCAGGGTTGAGGGCCCAGCGTTTCGTTCAGCCTACGGGGCACTCTGCTCCTACCCCCTAATGCTACACAACCCTTGATAACATGAACAAAATAGAATACAAATAACATATAACTCTCATACGAATACAGGTATGAGTGAATATACCCATATATATATATATCTACTCATTATATATATATATAATATCTGTGTGTGTGCTTTTCGAGAGCAATATGAATATATGTTGGGGTAAGCTAGGGGGGAGTACAAAGTCAGCGTGTGCTCGGCAAATCACAGCCGTCCTCATTCTGAGCCATGCCATTTGAGGCCTACTACTACAGAATCCAGCAAGTAAAGCTGACAAAGGCGGGACTCACATTCACAAGCACTCCGTGCAGACCCCAAAACCCCTAAACCCAAACCCTAAACCCAAACCCTAAAAGCCCTAAACTCCAAGCCCTAAACCCCAAGTCCTAAACCCCAAACCCTAAACCCCAAACCCTCAAAATCCTAAACCCTAAAAACCCCAAAAACCCCTAAACCCTCAACTGCAAGACAACATCGGGCCGGCGCCTGGGCCTCTTGGACCTGCTTTCGGATCCTGCGACCCCCGCTACGCGCGCGCTGGGGGGAGGGGGTAGGGGGGCCTGGACTCCGAAGAGGGCAGTTTAGGGTTTAGGGTTTAGGGTTTAGGGTTTAGGGTTTAGGGTTTAGGGTTTAGGGTTTAGGGTTTAGGGTTTAGGGCTAATAGCCACACACAGTCACACACATATTCAAAGCCCTTTCCTCCCGGCCTCTGCAGTTCCTCGCGCGCCTCTGGCTGCGCGAAGGGCGGTAGATCCTCGACTTCGGTATCTCTGGCCTCGCTGTTTTAGGGGGGCTTTATGCAGTTCAGGGTTTAGTGTTTAGGGTTGAGTGTTTAGGGTTTCACCACCTCCCCCCCCCAAAAAAAGACTCTAGAACCTTACACCCCGAGGGGTTTGGAGGTCTAAGTGGTCTTAGGCTCGCAGCTGGGGTTCGAGTTTGGGTTTAGAGTTTAGGGTTTAGGGTTGAGGGTTTCGGGTCTAGGGTCTAGGGGTCGGGCTCTTGAGGGTGAGGGGAACAGGGTTTTGGGGGTGATTATAGCATAATCAGGGATTATCAGGGGAGTACTATTATTAATTCTTCCGACCCCTATGTTACAGAAAGGGGAAAAGGAGCGTTCGGGCTGTGCAAATGCCCTAAACCCGGAACCCTAAACCCTAAGCCCTAAACCCTAGAATCACGGAGGAGATTGCTGAGCATTCTGAGCACAGCGACCACGCGGGGGTTCTCTTAAGTATGGCCCTACTTGGAGGATCAACTGGGACTTAGTAAGTAGGGCTTAGGGTTTAGGGTTTAGGGTTTAGGGTTTAGGGTTTAGGGTTTAGGGTTTAGGGTTTAGGGTTTAGGGTTTAGGGTTTAGGGTTTAGGGTTTAATCATGGGATTTAGTACGTAGGGTTGTAAGTACCTGAATTGGGGGGGGGGTATGAGTTATTGAAACTATCGTGCCGAATTCTAACCCTACTTACTAAGTCCCTTGATCCTTTAAGCATGTCAATACATCTGCTGTATTTACCCAGTTGGGATGGTTCCCTCTTACACTAACAGTCCTTATTTAAAATCCCTGTCAAGGAGCTGTTAGTGTAAGGGGGAACATCCCAAAAAGGGATTTGGGACTTCGGGAGGAGTTTCGCCAGTGCCGCGCTGCCCCAAAAAACATTGCTCAGCAGCACCGAAGTCCCACACTGTCAGCACCCCTAAACCCTAAACCCTAAACCGCAAACCCTGAACCCTGAACCCTGAACCCTGAACCCTGAACCCTGAACCCTGAACCCTGAACCCTGAACCCTGAACCCTGAACCCAAAACCCAAAACCCAAAACCCTAAACCCTAAACCCTAAACCCTAAACCCTAAACCCTAAACCCAAGCCCAGCCAAGTACTCCTGCCACCTGAAGCTTGGCAGCCCGAGGTTCTTCAACCCCGAAGTACTTTGGGATGTTCCTCCTTATACTAACGGTCCCTAATGGGGATTTTTTTATTGGGGGTACGAGAATCCCTATTAAGGACTGTTAGCATACGGGGAGAACATCCAAGAAGTACTCTGTAATCTGCTTGAGAACCCACCCAAAAAGACTATTTATATATATATATATATACATATATATATATATATATTTACTTATATTTTTTATTTAGTATATTCCTTTAATAGAGAGAGAGAGAGAGAGAAAATATTTGTAGTCTTTTGGGGGCTCCCATTCAATTTTGCTTCAGAATCCCACCCCGAAAAAAGACGATAATCCCTGCATTGTCCCTATGAATTTTGCTGAAGAAACCTAGCTACCCTACCCCCCTCCCCCCCAAGCAAAAACAAAAACAGGAAAACATAATACTCCCTATGCTACTCTTATACGGATGTTGTCATGATTTGCTTTTGGGGTTCTTAAGCAGATAGTGGAGAACTTCCCTGAGCCCCAAAACCCTACAGCCCAATTCCGAACCCTAAACAAACCCCAAACCCTCAAACCCCTAAAGCCCTAGAATCCTAAACCAAACATGGTAAACCCTAGAACCCTAGAACCCTAGAGCCCTAGAGCCCTAGAACCCTAGAACCCTAGAGCCCTAGAGCCCTAGAACCTTAAAACCCTAGAACCCTAGAACCCTAACCCCCAACAACCCCAGAACCCTAAACCCCAAATCCGAAAGCTTCAATACCCGGAACCCCAAAAGCCGCCCCAACTTCACCCTAAACACTAAACCTAAAACCCTGAAACCCAAAAAACCCTACAACCCCAAAAGCCGCCCCAGCTTCACCCCAAACACTAAACCCCCTTAAACCCTAAAACCCCAAAAGCCCTAAAACCCCAAAAGCCGCCCCAAATCTCACGCCACCCTAAACACTAAAAACCCTAAAAACCCCAAAAACCCCAAAAAAACCCTAAACCCCCAAAAGAAGCCGCCCGCAAATCTCATGCCTGAACACTAAACCCCCTTAAACCCTAATAACTTCAAAGCCCTAAAACCCCCCAAAAGCCGCCCCCAAATCTCAAATCTCACGCCTGGAGCGCCGTCTTCGCCGAGTCCAGGCTGTGCTGCGCCGCGGCCACGGCCTGCTGAAGCTGCCTCGGGCTTTGGGGGGCCTTTGGGGGGCTTGATATTTAGGGTTTAGGGTTTAGGGGTTAGGGGTTAGGCGTTTAGGGTTTAGGGTTTAGGGGTTAGGGTTTAGGGTTTAGGGTTTAGCAGTCAACTCCAGAAAGTTGGAACATGGTTTAAGGATGATTTTAGCTGAGAGATTCCCTTTAGTATAGCTTGTGGGGTCTGGGGATCAGGATGTTCCAACTTTATGGAGTTTACTGTGAGGGTTTGGGTTGGGATGTTCCCCCTTATACTACCAGCCCCTAATCGGGATTCTAGTATCCCCCCAGTATACTCCGTGTTAATGGCTGTTAGGGAACATCCCAAGGATTGGGGTTTAAGGCGCTTTGAGGGGCTGAAGTGGCTTGAAGGATTTAGGGCTTTAAGGTTTAGGGTTTTGGGGTGGCTATTGGGGTTGTAAGGTGCTTTAAGGGGCTTCAAGGGTTTGAGGTGCTTTAAGGGGCCTTTGGAGTCGTTCAGGATTTCGGGTTTTCAAAGGGCTTTAAGGGTTTAGGGTTTTAAGGTTTGCGGTTTTGGGGGGGGCTATTCGGGTTTTGAGGGCCTTTAAGGGGCTTCAAGGGTGTTAAGGCGTTTTGAAGGGGCTTTAGGGGTTTAGGGGTTTTAAGGTCTTTTCAAGGGGCTTTAAGGGGCCTTAGGGGATAGGATGTCTTGGGGGCTCTGGGGTTTTACGAAAATACAGGACCCTGATATAGACCCCAAATAACAGGATCCCCTGATAGTAAGGACCCCAAATAAGGTGCCCACTAATTTCCCAACCCTAAACTTTAAAACCCTAAACCCTAACCCCCCCCCCCATATGGTCGTTCAGGGCTCAGAGGTTTCAGGGCCTTCGGGGAGCCTTCGGGGTCGGAATTTGAGGGGGGGGCTTCGAGCTTCGGGCGGCTTTTTACTTCGTAGCCCAGTAACCATATTATAATGAGGGCACCCTTTTCTGGGTTTAGGGTTTAGGTTTTAGGGTTTAGGGTTGGTTATGTTGTAAGGGGACCCATAACCAAAAAAAAGGGAAAAGGGTGCCACTGGGCTACCAAGCTTAAGGCAGCTATCGGGGAGCTCGCTTGGAGTTTAGCTTCGACTCTTGGGAGTTTAGGGTTTAGGGTTTAGGGTTTGGGGTTTAGGGTGGGGCTTTAAGGGTTTGGGGCTTCAAGGTGCTTGAATAGGGGCCGTTGAGGGGTTTTTCAGGTGCTTTGAGGGGCTTTAAGATGCTTTAAAGGGCTTTACGGGGCTTTAAGGGTTTGGGTTGGGATGTTCCCCCTCATACTACCAGACCTAATCGGGATTCTAGTATCCCCCAGTATACTCCGTGTTAAGGGCTGTTGAGAAATTCCCAAGGATTGGGGTTTAAGGTGCTTTGAGGGGCTGAAATGGCTTGAAGGATTTAGGGCTTTAAGGTTTAGGGTTTTGGGGTGGCTATTGGGGTTGTAAGGTGCTTTAAGGGGCTTCAAGGGTTTGAGGTGCTTTTAGGTGCCTTTGGAGTCGTTCAGGATTTCGGGTTTTCAAAGGGCTTTAAGGGTTTAGGGTTTTAAGGTTTGCGGTTTTGGGGGGGGGGGGGGGGGGCTATTCGGGTTTTGAGGGCCTTTAAGGGGCTTCAAGGGTTTTCAGGCGTTCTGAAGGGGCTTTAGGGGTTTAGGGGTTTTAAGGTCTTTTCAAGGGGCTTTAAGGGGCCTTAGGGGATAGGATGGCCTGGGGGTCTGGGGGTTTACGAAAAGAGAGGACCCCTGATATAGACCCCACATAACAGGATCCCCTGATAGTAAGGACCCCAAATAAGGTGCCCACTAATTTCCCAACCCTAAGCTTTAAACCCTAAACCCTAAACCCCCCCATATGGTCGTTCAGGGCTCAGAGGTTTCAGGGCCTTCGGGGGGCCTTCGGGGTCGGAATTTGAGGGGGGGCTTCGAGCTTCGGGCGGCTTTTTACTTCGTAGCCCAGTAACCATATTATAATAAGGGCACCCTTTTCTGGGTTTAGGGTTTAGGTTTTAGGGTTTAGGGTTGGTTATGTTATAAGGGGACCCATAACCCAAAAAAAGGAAAAGGGTGCCACTGGGCTACCAAGCTTAAGGCAGCTATCGGGGAGCTCGCTTGGAGTTTAGCTTCGACTCTTGGGAGTTTAGGGTTTAGGGTTTAGGGTTTAGGGTTTAGGGTTTAGGGTTTAGGGTTTAGGGTTTAGGGTTTAGGGTTTAGGGTTTAGGGTTTAGCCCTAAACCTGGGTTCAGCCATGTTGCTCGAGCGCCTGTGACGCTGACTCGGCATCGTCCTGGCAATCGCTTAGGCACCCTCAACCCAGCACCCGAACCAGTCCCTGAACCCAGTCTGGAGCGTTCAGGTTAAGGGAGTCAACCATCGAGCGTTGAAAGGACAAGATACTTCGCTTATAGGGCATATCTACCTTCCTTAAGGCACAGGACTCTTGTAGACTCTCGATGCACCCCAAAACCCCGAACCCTAAACAGCAGGCCTCAAACCCATTCTGAAACTAAGCCCTGAGAAGTCGGGTCTGTTGCTCCAACGCCAGTAAGGTCGGAATGCAGAAGGGAAAGCCTTCTCTGCTTTTAGGGTTTAGGGTTTAGGGTTTAGGGTTTAGGGTTTAGGGTTTAGGGTTTAGGGTTTAGGCTTCAGGGCTTTTGGGTTGAACCTAAGACCCTAAGCAAAGGCGAGAAGTTCACCACTGACGGTGCGTGTGTCCCAGGCCTCTCAGGACTAGGTTTAGGATGGCCCGTAAAAGCTTGTAAAAAACATTGCTGAATATGACACTCTTTTCGCCCGATATGGGAAAATCTGAAAAGTCTCAAGGGCCTACCTAGAGATTTCTTGTCGTCTTTCAATGAGGCCACTTAAAGCCGCACAGGCCTACAGCCTCCAAACCCTCCAAGTCTTAGAACCTTAAGCTCTAAACCCTCAAAGCCTTGGTGCAAAGGATGCTTCTTCCCCCCCCCCCTTCCCGGCTCCCCCAGCTAGCAGGTTTAGGGTCTAGGGATGTACTGCGCCAGTGCGTAGGATGTATGGCCCTTGGAAGAGAGGAGGAAAAAGTTTTCAGGTGTCGAGTAGATGGCTCAGGGTTTAGGGTTTACCCTCAACCCTAAACCCCAAACCCCAAACCCTAAACCCCCAACCATAAACCCTAAACCCTAAACCCCAAACCCCAAGCCCTAAACCCTAAGCCCTAAACCCTAAACCCTAAACCCCAAACCCTCAACCCTAAACCCTAAACCCTTAACCCTAAACCTTAAACCCTAAACCCTAAACCCTAAAAACATGCTGCTCTCCTCGCAGCTGGTTACCATGGCCTTCGTGATCGCAGCTTTCCTTGGGATCGGGGAGTAGGGAGCCAGGAAGGGCACTGATTCCCCAAATGTTATGGGTTTAGGGTTTAGGGTTTAGGGTTTAGGGTTTAGGGTTTAGGGTTTAGGGTTTAGGGTAAGATACAAGCCCTCAACCTCACAGGTGTCCTGCGTTGGTTGATGGAATCTCCGCTTGCTTGGCCATTCTGAATCACTGTGGCTGCTTGTTTGTGCAACCGCAATTTGAGCCCTGAGTGGTGAGAAATAAAGATAGCTCTGTACTATAGATGATCGGCAATTTGGCGACGCGGCTCTAAACCCTTTAGGGTTTAGGGTTTAGGGTTTAGAGTACTGCCAAATGTTAAATTCCCGACCCCCCGAACCCCCCCCCCCCCACCCACAACCACATGTTCCGTACCGCGTCGCTCCACCAGATCTTCCGCCTCGTTCGCCAGCCTGAGTCAGCAGCTCAACTTAAGCACATGCACCCAAAATCCTGCACAAGCTTGAGGGTTTACATTTTGAGCTTTGGGGATTCGGCCGAAACCTACTTCAAGGCCTACGGGGCCCTATGAAGGTGAGGTAAAGCAACTTGAAATCCTACATGTCCAGCGACCTCCTAACAGGCTTGCCTTCGGGTTGTAGGTTGGGATGTTCCCCTTATACTAACTGTCCTTAATCGGGATTATGGTACCCCCCCCCCCCCCAAAACATAATCCCTATTAACTAGGATGGTGCTTAGAACCCGCTCAAAAACATCCCTGAATTCTAAACGCTGGCAGCTTGGAAAGCCTCTGCTGCGTAATCGCCGCTGATTAGGGGTTGGGCCCTAGGCCCTAGGCCCTAAACACTAAACACTGCAACCTAAACACTAAATCTTAAACCGCAGGGCAGTAGTGTTCAGGGGTTAGGGTTTAGGAGAAGGACCGTCCCAAAATGGGACCCTCAAATTTCGGCACCAGCGAGGGTTGCTATATGCCCCCCTCCTTTAAAATTTAGGATTCAGGGATTCGGGAGTATAATGAACCCCCTTTAAGATCTGATAGAGTGTAGGGTTGAAACTGGGGTTAGGTTTATTGCCAAGCCCTAAACCCAGAATTGCTGCCCATGATAATTTCTTAGCAAGCCCCCCAAAGCCCTAAACCCTAAGATTACATTGAACTTGGGTTTGTATGTCAACCAAAAATTGCACGGAGAAGCTAGCTTTACTGCAAGTCTACCTGAGACGCTGAGAAGTCGCCGGTTTAAGGTTTAGGGTTTAGGGTTCAGGGTTCAGGGGCATAGAAGGGTTCCTGGGTAGGGGGTCTTTGGAAAGCATCTTTGATTTCCTGGAGTTTAGGCTTTGGGGTAGAGGCGGCCCAGACGCGTGAGTGTGGCGGAGAGGAACTCTGGCAGGAGCATCTGCGTTTCCTGACATGAAGAATGCACGCGCGTTCCACTGCACCCTGAACTCTAAACCCAACCCTGAGCATCTGACCCTAAGCCTAGACCACCCAGCCGCGAACCCTGCAAAAACTCAAAACCCAAAACCATCCCCCAAAGCTCCCTCAAGAGGTGGATGTAGGTGTCAAGATTGCGTGAGCCCAAAGCAACTCTCAAACCCGAAGACACTGTTGAGCAATCGGAAACAGCAACACGGGAACAACCTAAACGAAGCCTTGGATCGACCCCTCCCATAGGATCTAGGTTTGCGATGTCCACCCTTATAGTTACAGTCATAGGGATTACAATAGAGGACTATAATCCCTCTTAAGGATTGTTAGTAGAAGGGGGGAAATTCAGGATTGCTAGTATAAGGCGGAAGATCCCATACAGTTTAGGTTTTAAAGCCTAGGGTTTATGCCGCTATGCTAAACCTTACAGCCCTTTCTGCGACCCTAAGCCCTAAACCCTAAACCCACAGGGGAAGCCAGACACTTGGCTGCCTCAGCCCTGACCCCTAAACCCTGAATCGTGAACCACAGGGGGGAGAGGGGCAACCAGAGACCTTGTGAGGTCCTGAAAGCTAAACTCTCGTACACCTGAAGCCGGACGCCTTTGCTACAGAACCTCTATATTATGGTCCTGTTTGGGCCTCCCGGTTTAGGGTTAGGTAACTAGGTACCTGCCCGGACGAACTGCGTGACACATGACGAGTTACACCCTGAACCCAGAGCCCTGCACCGATCGCTATCTTAGGAGGACGGAGATTCGGGTTAAAAGTTTAAGCATCTTCGCCTGTTCCTCCTCGTGCCGAAGGGCAGCATCCTCAATCTCCTCAGAGAAGTCTCAGAGGTTCGAGGACGCCCCTAAACCTAAGCCCTAAAATCGCGGACGAGAGTTGGGGTGATGATCTTGGACTCGCGTCTGGGCTGGCGCCCTTAAGGCAAAATCTTGTGGCATCCGTTTCAGGGTTTAGGGGTTCAGGTTTCGTCTCGGTACGTCACCCAAGAACAAGCCTAAACCCTAAGCCCTACACCCTAAACCCTGAACCCTAAACCAGTTGAGGATAGCAGGCAAGGCCAATGCTTCAGACCGGCTCCGACAACAAAATGGATTCAGAGCTACGCAACAAGACGGGAATATCAACAGCTCTTCCCGGAAGGCATCCAGAATACTGGTATTGTTCTACATGGGCCATCCCTGGTCTGTGAAGACGCAGGATTGCAGTCCTGGCCCCAGAATGTGACACAGCCACTTCGCAGCAGATTCTTGAACCACATCTTTTGACTTCTAGGGCACGAGAGGCTTGAGGGGTCCATGGCTCCTAAGGGCTTATTTTTAAGTCTCATAAACCGGGGTTTAGGGTTTAGGGTTTAGGGTGTAGGGTTTAGAGTACTCCCAGCAACCCCCTGAGTGCTCCGAGCGCCTTGGAACGTAGCCCCCCCGCCCCCCTTGCAAACAGCGATGGACGAGCTCGGCATGCTCGCTGTGGAGGTCCCAAATTTCCAACTTTAGGGTTCGTTTAGGGTTTAGGGTTTAGGGTTTAGGGTTTAGGGTTTAGGTTCAGGGCTTAGGGTTTTCGGTCTAGGGTTTAGGGGCACAAGGCTGAGGACAATCACAAAACCCGCCTAAACCTGAACACCCCAAACCTGACAACCCCCTGACCGTCTGAACCCTAAACCCACAACCACACAACCCTAAACCCTGAACCCTGAACCCTGAACCCTAAACCCTAAACCCTAAACCCTAAACCCTAAACCCTAAACCCTAAACCCTAAACCCTAAACCCTAAACCCTACAGCCACACCGACGCGGACTCTCAGGTCGAGACCTGCTGTTGCTTGATGAGGTTGCTGATCTCCGTGTCCTGAGGACATACTTACTTGGTAGCCCAGTAACTGTAGTATAATGAGGGCACCCTTTTTGGGTTGGTTATTTTCTAAGGGAACCCATAACCAAAAAAACAAAGGGTAAAGGGTAACACTGGTAGCTACTTAACAGGGTTCCGGCTTTCGTTTTTTCAGGGTCTTGGGTTTCGGGTTTCATCGCTTAGAGGGTTAAGGGTCTAGGCTTTATCGTTTATAGGGTTTAGGGTTTGAGGTGTAGTGATAATTTGGGGGTCGATAGGACGTCAGGGGTTTGCAGTTTAGGTCCATGGAGTAGAGTCGTAAGGGTTGATTCTTGGTGGTTCATGGCTAGTTCTAACTGGAGACCGAAAATGAGTTTATAGGGTCAGAGTCTTGGGTTCTAGGTTCATGGGTTTAGGGTTTAGGGTTTAAGGGTTAGTTCTGTCAGGGTTGGGGTCTCAGATTCTTCGCCGTAGCTCGGCAAATGCAACCAGGGTCCGACTTGGCTGCAGGGCAGCTACCCCAGGCGACCGAACGGTCAGACTGTCCAATCCTACTACCCACAAAAGTGAGAAAGGTCACCACTCTGAGTGTTTAGGGTTTAGGGTTTAGGGTTTATAAAAGCTTATATAAACCCTACAAGACGTGCTGCTGCCAGGGCTTTGAGCCGAAACCTCCCTCAACGTGAAGGCGCACACGACATGGGGAAGATGTAACCGGACGAAGGAACGACAACTCAAGGGTCGCAGCGATGCCCAAACCCTTAAAACCCCTCGAACCCTGAAACCCTGAAACCCTGAAACCCTGATAGCCTGAAACCCTGATAGCCCGAAACCCTGAAACCCTGAAACCCTGAAACCCTGAAACCCTGAAACCCTGAAACCCTGAAACCCTGAAACCCTGAAACCCTGAAACCCTGACACTGGCGGTCCAGCCGACGGGAACTCTCTGCGAGACGGTTTTGGAAGTCCTGCACCCACATGTCGGGTACAGGGATGCTTAGGGTTTAGGATTTAGGGAGAGGTCAAAGAGAAGTTGCCCTAACCTAGATCACAGAGTATGACCCAGGAAGAAAAGTTGGGGGGGTACTCTTTCTTGAATAACTGAGTTGCTGAGTTCAAAGACTCGCTCAGCTACGAAGATAACAACGGGGTTCCAAAGGGAACCAAACCCAGAGGGTCCATTTGTATTACCATTATGGAATTAGGCACCCCAGAACCCTATTTAGCATGGTTTTTACTTAGGGTTTAGGGTTTAGGGTTTAGGGTTTAGGGTTGAGGGTTGAGGGTTGAGGGTTGAGGGTTGAGGGTTGAGGGTTGAGGGTTTAGGGTTTCTGAGTTCATAAGCCCCCCTCCCCCCAAAAAAAAAGTGTAAACTTTCAGGTTTATAGGGGGTGATAGTATCCCAAAAAGAAAAGTGTACTCACGCAGCTACTAAGCACCTGAAACCTCTTTCATGAAGCAGGAAAGAAAAACTCTGGCGTTTTCTTGGGGGAAGGGCATCCGTCCCATGCATGGGCTTAGGGTTTAGGGTTTAGGGTTTAGGGTTTAGGGTTTAGGGTTTAGGGTTTAGGGTTTAGGGTGTACAAAGAGGGCCCAGAGCTCCGACATTCCATCCCACTACCGGTTTTTCCCCACGTTTGTTGGGTTGAGGGCGAGCATACCCTAAAACCCTAAATACCCTAAATACCCTAAATACCCCAAATACCCTGGATGCCCTAAATACCCTAAATACCCTCAAACCCAAAGCCCTAGAACCCGATCACCACTTAATATAGGGGCCTGGATAGTTGGAAGTTTAAGGTTTAGGGTTTAGGGTCTAGGGTTTAGGGTTTAGGGTTTAGGGTTTAGGGTTTAAAGTTTAGGATTTAGGGTTTAGGGTTTAGGGTTTATTTAAACCTATCTGGGGTCCCCTTGGAAAAAAACGGCCTAAAGAAGCTTGAACCCACAATTCCCAGGGTGTTGAGCCCCGCAAGCCCCGCAAGCCCTAAACCCTAAACCCTAAACCCCAAACCCCAAACCTTTTAGAGTCTCCAGGGCCGGCCTGCAACTCCTCTAAGATGCTGATGCTGTCCCTTGGGCACGCAAAGCTTTGGAGGCTTGGGGGTTTAGGGTTTAGGGTTTAGGGTTTAGGGTTTAGGGAGGATCAGGGGACTTAGGAAGTAGGGTCATAATCAGGGCAGCTATAGTTACAATTACTTATAACCCCAATTAGGGTACTTATAGCCCTACTTGCGAAGTCTCATGATTCTCCGAGTAGGGCTGAGGGAAACCCGAAACCCTATCTCTTAGGCTAGTTACAAGGGTCCTTAATGTGGTCCATAGCCTCCTTTAAAGGGTTCTGATGTAAGTCCTGAATTTGTACAGGGTTAAGGGGTACCCGTTTGAGGGCCCATGCTGAGGGACCATGCAACTACACCACGAGACTCAATACCCTAATAGCCCTAGAAGCCCTAAGACCTAAACCTTAAACCTTAAACCTTAAACCTTAAACCTTAAACCTTAAACCTTAAACCTTAAACCTTAAACCTTAAACCTTAAACCTTAAACCTTAAACCCGCAACTCCACCTCGTAGACCCTAAGCCTTCACGCCAATGGCTCCCCTGAAATATATGAGTCCCGGGCAATATTACGTACACACCCCTCCTACCTGAGTTGCTGAGTTCATAAGCCCCCAACAGTGCACACTTTCAGTTCTATAGGGGATGATCGTATCCCAAAAAGTGTTACTCACTCAGCTACTAAGCTCTACTTGGACTAGAATATCCGTACCCTCCCCCCCCTACCCCCCTCCCCCTTCTTAGTAAGGAGGTGTTTCCACAGCTGATGCTACCACTTCTGTACTCAATCTAGGGCAACTGAGGGGTAAGCATCAGCTACCCCGTAATTCTTGTGGCCCGGGCTTATACTAACAGTCCTCAATAGGGACTATAGGTAGGGGCGTACCAGAAAATCCCGATTGAGGACTCCTGAATAGGGATTATGATAGGGGGGGGGGGGGGGGTTGCTCTAATCCCAATTAAGGACTGCTACATCCCGAATTTGGGGGCTTGGTGTGGCTTTCCGTGCCTTGGGGATTTGGCAGCTGTCAGCACAAGTCATCCATGATCTAACCTTGTAGGGTCTATGGGTGCTTCTCAAGAATGGGGGGGGGGGTACCCTACATAACACCAAATGCTACAATCGTTCTTGTATTAGGAAACCCCCCCTCCCCCCACAAAAAATAGAATACAAATAGCCCCCCCCCCCCCCCCTTTTTGGCAAAAACCCCCAATCGTGCTGCCTCAGCACCTGGTCATGGTAGGATATGGTAGGTACCTTGTGTTGCCCGTGGTCTCCCGGGCTGAACTTCAATCCTGCAGCTCTTCTACTGCTTCAGGATTAACCCTAACTACGTCGAAGCGTGATGTGAGTTCGCTTGCCTGCCTCTGGCGGGCCATTAAAACAACCGGGTGCACGGAAATCTCCAGCTACGGAGAGTGCACATCTGCGGCAGTGTGAGTCAAGTGCCTGTACTTGCCAGCCAAAACCAGCAACTTCACAGCACCAGGGCTTTTATGAACAGAAAGTGAAATCATTTAAGAAGATCTGCCAGAGCGTCCTCCCTTGGGAATCGAGGAACAGCGCCTGGCCCTCCCATGCGGTTTCGAGCGATTACCTCCTGGAGTTTAGATGCGGATTCTTTGCCTTGAAGCTCCTGCATCATCTGCACCGCGTTCGAGGCGGTGGTGAAGATCCTGAGTTGTCCAGTAACCTGCAGGAACTAAAGGTGAACCTTTGGGATTATAAGGGGATTGATTATATTACCCCAAAAAGGTTTTGAAAAAAGTTGCCTACTCTACTACCAGGGATCACCTTGCGCTGGGTGCTTTCCGGAAGAGCCGGCTTGATCATCGACCAGAGCATTGAGAACAAGCTCGGCGCATCCACGACCACGATCGTCCGGATGATGTCACGGTAGGCATGCTTCAACATCCTCTTGGCTGCTGAGTTCATAAGCCCCCCCCAAAACAGGTGTAAGCTTTCAGTTTTATAGGGGGGTGATACCCTAAACCCTAAACCCTAAACCCTAAACCCTAAGCCCTAAACGATGGTATCCCAAAAAGTGTAAAGTGTACTCACTCAGCTACTAGGTCCTTGACGCTGCTAGGCTGCCGCGTGGGTCGAGATTGTAGCGGAGCTGGAAGGACTTCAGGTCAAAGACCGCATCGAGTTGACACACCGAAGGAGGCATCATGTTCCTGGGATCTTGGCTGGACTCAGGAGGGTAGCTATAAATTAAACTTTTAGCTGCCTTAATAAGAAACCCAATAAACCCAAAAAAGGTAAGGATCGAAAGTTACAGTAAAGTAGCACAAAGGGATGTGCTGTTTCATCGGCAGGTCTCTAAAACCCTAAGCCCTAAACCCCCAAAAGCCCAAGAAGGGCCTTCCAATTTGCCAGGACGGGGTGCCGGGCTGTCTCCAGAACAACGGCTGCATGCTCAGCCATGTCCTGGCCATCGTAGCTGGCGGTTTGAAACCTAGTAGCCCAGTCACCATATTGCAATAAGGGTATCCTTTTTTGGGTTGGTTGCTTTATGAGGGGAACCTTGAACAACAAAAAACAGGGAAAAGGGGTACCACTGGGCTACCAAGGAAACCTGTGCGATGCATACACCAGCGGATGGCCATGCTCCCCCTGCGCGAGGATACGCAAGTCGCCCTGCCACTTTGGTGTGCGAGCGCCTGAGAGTAGCTCCTTGTGCTGTTCGCGCCACTCCAGCGCCTGGGCTAGAAGCTCAGCAGCAGCTCGTACGTCACCTTTCCGACCCCGGAAGAAGCGTTGAAGAACCTCTGGGGTGCACCAACTTTCTTGACAGGCAGTGAGCGGCCGTGCAAGAAGCGTCTTGGCACAAGCCAGCACCTGATCCAAGTGCCTTAGCTTTGGAGTAGACCCTGGAAAAAAGTATATGCTTTTTAGGTTTAAGTAGCTATGATAGGAACCCAAAACCAAAATATGAAAGTGCAGTACTCCAAAACCCAGGTGCTCATTCTTTGCACACCCACATGGCTCGGCGTTGGACACGCTGCTGATGTCCACGTTCAGCTCGGGCTGTGCATCCGTCAGACCATGCTGGTGGATGACCTGCATCACCTCCTCTCGCTCGGGACCGCAACATGAGGCACCCATTGCTTGGGAAGCCCAAGAACCTACAAGCCCTAAACCCGAACCCTAAACCCTAAACCCTAAACCCCAAACCCTTGTTTTGGTTCAACCGTTGGCACCCCAACGAGCTCGAGCCGGGCCTGGCAGAAGGGTTGAGAATCGTGGATGCATGGAGAGTTCTAGGGCTCAGGGTTCACCCCGAATTTTGAAGAAGTACATCTCTCCCCAATATGTATATGTATATTACATAAGTATGCATCTGTACACACAGAGACATGTACATAGATATGCCTGTACCCACCCAAGAGCCAAGGCTTGAAGCATCCCTTTCTGAAGGTACGTGGGCTACGACTCTGGCCTCTGCTTTGCTGTTGGGGGCTTTGGATCAAACTCTATGTGCACCCTAAACCCTAGCCCTAAACCCTAAACCCTAAACCCTAAACCCTAAACCCTAAACCCTAAACCCTGGAAGCCCATGTGGCCAAAGGCATGAAGAACACAACTCTTGGCTGAGCGGCAACTTCTGCCGCGGAACTGGGATCGACCCAGCTCGGCCCAACATCTCCTTGAAAGCCCAGGGTTTAGGGTTTAGGGTTTAGGGTTAGGGTTTAGGGTTTAGGGTTTAGGGTTTAGGGTTTAGGGTTTAGGGTTTACTTGGAGGTTCATGGGTAGTTGAAAGTAGGGTTAACTTTTAAGTAGGGTTATTCAGTACCCTGAGCACGGCTATCATGGCAGTTACCATACGTATAGCCCTACATATAACCACCCATGAGCCTTCACGTAGGTCTTAAGGTTTAGGGTTTCCTTCTTGCGGGGTTCCGCTGAGGGTCGCTCGCAAAGTAGGCAAAAAAAAACCTTTAAACCCTAAACCCTACAGCCCCAAACCCCAAAACGCCTTAAACCCTAAACCCTAAACCCTAAACCCTAAACCCTAAACCCTAAACCCTAAACCCTAAATGAACCCTAAACCGCAAAGCGCTCGAAGCTCAGCAGAGTTCCGGGGCCTTCATGTCCTCCGCCGTCTGTTGAAGATCGGCCCTTAGGCCGAAACAAACGTTGGTTTAGGGGTTTGTTAGGGTTTAGGGTTTTAGGAATTTAAGGGTTTAGGAGTTTAGGGGTTCGGGGGTTTAGGGGCTTGGGGCTTAAGTGTTTAGGGGTTTGCTAGGGGTTTGGGGGCTTAGGGGTTCGGGGGTTAAGGGTTTAGGGGTTTGGGTGTTAGGAGTTTAGGGGGTTTGGGGTTTAGAAGTGAAACAGTTTGGGGTTTAGGGGTTTAGGTTTGCTGGGAGGTTCCCGGTCGTCATGGGGCTCTAAGTACGGCAAAGGTCATGACAGGATTTGGGGGGGGGGGGGGGGAGGAACCTCTAAACCCTAAACCGAAAAGACCCTACTTGGAAGCTACTCGTGAATCTCCAAGTAGCGTTTACCTGGGGTTCCTCCAAGGGACCGCAAGAAAACGCTCCAGTTTAGGGCTTAGGGTTTGGGGTTTGGGGTTTGTGGCTTAAGGTTTAGGGTCTGGGCTTTAGGCAGGTATCCGGGTTTAGGGTTTGCGCTTTGGAGTTCCCCCAGGAACAAACATCAGGACATTTCCAGATACGACGGTATTATTTGCCCTGCATTTCAGTTCAAACTACCCCCCGAAACCTTAAACGCTCTAAGCACCCTGAAGCCCCAAACCCTAAACCCCAAACCCTTAAGCCCTAAACCCTAAACCCTAAACCCTAAAGCCCGAAAGCGTCCATGATTGGATCCTCAAAGGGCCACGGGGGATGAGACGTTGAGACATTATGCCGAGCCGCGTTGCTTTTTGGATCCTGGGATGAGGACGTCCACTTCGGGTGAAGGGTTTGGGGGTTTGGGGGTTTGGGGGTTTGGGGGTTTGGGGGTTTGGGGGTTTGGGGGTTTGGGGGTTTGGGGGTTTGGGGGTTTGGGGCTTGGGGCTTGGGGTTTGGGGTTTGGGGTTTGGGGTTTGGGGTTTAGGGTTTGGGGTTTGGGGTTTAGGGTTTAGGGTTTAGGGTTTGGGAGGGGGCGGGGGGTTAGGGGGATTCGGGAGGATTCGGGGGGAGGGGGGGGGGGGCGGGTTTGGGAGAGAGTTTCGGAGGTCTAGGGGGTCTTGCAGGGTTCAGGGGGGGTGTGGGGTTTGGGTAGGATTCCTAGACCCTAAACCCTAAACCCTAGTTTCAGTGTCGCACAGGCACCTGGCTCTGGAGCGAAAAAAGTGGCTGCTTGGACAAAAGTTCACACTGTCAGTGTAGTGATGTACACAAGGTTGACGCAAAGCTCGTACCGAATGCATCTGTTTTGAAAGGTTGTGCGGTGTGTGGGTACTACTCTCTGCATACTAGGTCTTACGCGTAAGCTCCAAATTCATGAATTCCCAACATTATGCATCATCACCCTGTACCCTAGAGCCGCGAGAGACACCCTCAGCCCTCAACCCTAACCCCGTACTTCCTTGAGAGCTTGCAAGATATTCTTACCGGTCTTGGGGCCTTCTAACTCACAAAAAAACTGCAACCTCGCACCTTAAGTCCCAAAACAGGGAGAACCAAAGAATAAAGCCTCAGGTCCCTCCTAGCAGCAGGGACATTACGATTATCAAAGCCCATAATCCTATAGTTTAGGGTTTAGGGTTTAGGGTTGAGGGTTTAGGGTGTAGGGTTTTATCCTATACCCTACCTTGGGAGATGTTTGGCTCGGCCCCAGGCACCGAAGACGAACATATCCCAATGTTCAACCTAGGCTTTAGATTCAGGCAGAGTGTATCTCAACCGTAGCTTTGCTGCTGCTGGCATAGGCCCCCCCCCCCCACCAAAAAAAGTGTACACTTTCAGTTCCATAGGGGATTCTAGTATCTCACAAAGTGTAAAGTGTGCTCATTCAGCTTCTAAGCGCCCTGAACCCGAAACCCTAAACCCTAAACCCTAAACCCTAAACCCTAAGGTAAAGAGGAAGTGTCTCGTCGACTCGGGCACGCTTGCTGGCTAGCCTGGCTTTCTCCTGGCAGGGAGCTTGCTTGAAAAGTTGGGAAGTTCCCCCATGTGGGGGTTTAGGGTTTAGGGTTTAGGGTTTAGGGTTTAGGGTTTAGGGTTTAGGGTTTAGGGTTTAGGGTTTATTCCCTTGTAAGAAGGACCCGAACAAGGTACCCCTAATTTCCTTGTACCAGCAGTCCTTAATGGGGATTGTCAAACGGGGTCCCACAATCCCTAGTAGAGACTGTTAAGCTTGAGGTTTGTGGTTTTAGGGCTTTTTCAGGCCGAGATATCGGACTCGCTGGAGAATTGCTTGAAACCCAATATACTTGAACATACACAAGGATCAAGAGACCACCCGCCCCAGCGTTTTCCCAAAGGCCCAGACCCAGAAACAAGTCCAACAAGAGATCTTCCTCGAGATGCAGTCACCAACACTAGGACACCAGGCCAAGGATGGCCCTGAACAACCCTCTGAAAGAATCCTGAATATGATCCTAAACCCTAAATCCTAAACCCTAAGCCCTAAACCCCAAACCATCCTCTTAAACCCAAGAAGGGAAAACATGACATGCCCTAAGGGCCTATCTAGAGGACCAACAGACAGACGGCTCCGGCTGTCGGATCGACTCTGGGAAGAATCTTGACATGCCTACGCGACTCACCCCAACAACGCTCAATCTGGCAGGTTCATGGGTAGACCCCCCCTCGTTCCACAGCACACATAGTATATGCAGAACCCCTCGATCCTAAACCCCTAGCCCCGAAACCCTAAACCCTCAGCCCTGAACCCCTCTCCCTGCTGTTCGGCTACCCCAAGCCCTTGCAGGTTGCTTCTCAACATCCGATGGTTCCCTTCAACATCATCCCTCATCCTATACTCTGCATCGGAGTCATAGGCAAAGCTAAGCTTGCACTCTATTCGTCGATTTGGGGCTTAGGGTTTAGGGCCTAGGGTTTCTCTTTGGGCTTTCGATTATATAGCGATGAGAAGTATTCCTTACGGAGACTACAGGATTAAGGACTTCGGAATTACAACCCCTCTGAAGCCCTAAACCCTAAACCCTAAACCCTAAACCCTCAACCCTAAAGTCTAAGTTCGGATTGAGGGTTTTCGGGCTTTCCCGGCGGATCTCCTGCACTTGCCTCACTCTGAGAATGAGTGGCTTTGACTCATTCTTCAAGGCTTCCTGGTTCCCGGAGGGCTTAGGGTTAAGAGTTTCCTAAGCCTAAGCCCTAAACTAGGCACCAAGAACTCTGTGTTTCTACTCCAGGCGCTTTCCCCCTCAACCCAAGTCAGCAAACAGGGGTTCGGGCAGCAGGTCATGGGGTTCAGGGTTTGGGATGTATGGTCTAGGAATAAGGTACTGCGCCAATACTATCCCTTCCCACAGGCTCAAACGTTTCCTTCTTGGGTAGCAATATGGGTAGCAACACGTATTTACAGATGTACCCACATACATCTGAGTACGAATCGCCGTATTCGCGAAGCCATAGACACAACACCCTATATAGGGTTTCCGAAATTAGGGGTACCTTGTGACGGGTCTATGCTATCAGGGGATCTACATGAGGGGCCCTATATTTTTTCGCACATCCCCATATTGGTAATGAGTCAGGCTCTTGTACTACCCTGTTCATGAGTTCTCCTACTACCCCACCCCCTCTAGACTACCCCCCCGTAGGTTCTCACCATAATTAAGGCTATTTAGGGGAAATTAAGCCTAAGCAAGCTAAGCAAGGCTATGTAAGGGGGGGGGGGGGGGGAAACCCATGTTCAACAATGTAGCCTCTCGAAAGTCAAGCCTCCAGCTCGATCCCTCGCTGCTGGAAGCCCTAAACCCTAGGGTTTAGGGTTTAGGGTTTAGGGTTTATAGGGTTTAGGGTTTAGGGTTTTGGGGTTCAAGGTTTTGAGGTACTTTCCCCCGGGGCTCTCTCAAGCAACAAAGAGGCAAAAACCTGCAAACTGTACATGCCTAGTCCTCTCGCCCTCATCCCGAAACCCTAAACCCTGAACCCTAAGCCTCTAAAATTAAATACTCCCGATATAGTTGTATAAACATACCCCTTATGTTAAATACTCCCATTTTTGATAAATTATATAGTATAGGGGAGGGGTATGTAATATTAGGGGTTAGCGGGGGTTTAATATTAGCGGGAGGGTGGGGGGGGGGGGGGGGGGGGGGGGGGGGGGGGGGGGGGGGTAGGGGATCAAACAACCATTATTTGGGATCAAACTTAATGAATTTATAAGCGGATCCAAAAAACAGATTCGGGATCAAAAATACTTTACTGAAGGCTTCGAAGGCCTGTTGCAAGCGGAGCTGAGGCTGTAAACGCTCAGAAATGCAGCATTTCTGGCCGTTCGCAAGCTCTAAATACCGAAAAAACACAGCATTTATGCGGGAACTTCTGAATGTCTGAGTTTCCAGAGAGGCTGCAGATTCTGTATATAGCAGCAGTTCCTTGCTTCCTTGCTTCCTTGCTTCCTTGCTTCCTTGCTTCCTTGCTTCCTTCCTTCCTTCCTTCCTTCCTTCCGTCCTTCCTTCCTTCCTTCCCTCCCTCCTTCTCTCCCTCCCTCCCTCCCCTTCCCTCTCTCCGTCGGAAGAACAGAATACATTATTTCTTGGTCCTAAATAAATTATGTCTTGGTCCTAAATAAATTATTTCTTGGTCCTAAATAAATTTTTCTTGATCCCAATAACTCCGGGGTTCAGGGTGTAGGGTTTAAACCCTGGAGCCCCTCGACCCCTAACTCCTGGACTGCATTGCATGTAACTTCCCCACAACCCCACGAGACTGAGGGGGGCTTGCGATGGGAACGCAGCTAAAGTCCCCTTCAACCCTCAACCCCTCAACCCTCAACCCTCAACCCCAAACCCTGGACCCCTGAGCCAGCCGGGGGGCCAGTGTTATCCTGGCTTCTGTTTCTTGCCTCCCGTGCAGCCGCGCAACATACACTTCGGGAATCCCTAAACCCTAAACCCGAAACCCTAAACACTAAACATCTTTCCCCAAGGCATTGGCCTTGATCCCTAACTTCGGGCGTGGCCGCCGGTAGTCATCCAGGCGTTTCCGAGTCGGGCCCAGTTCTAGGGGCTCGTTTTTGAGCAAAGGTTTGGGGTTTAGGGTTTAGGGCTTAGGGTTTAGGGTTTAATTAGGGTTTAGGGCTTGGCTCAAGGTTGTGAAGGCCTTTTCGCGGTTATTCGGTGATTTGAAATAGTTCAAGGGGCCCCAGGGTCCGTGATGATCTTTCGCAGCAGCTGGCAGGCTTTGGTTTCGGTTCTCTTGTTGTCTAAAGTTTCGAAGTGCTTATGGAACACCCGCGTTTCCCCCACAAGAGCAGCTCAACGCCAGACCGCCTGAGACTTGAAGGTCTTTCAGATGCCCACAGCTTGCCACGCTTGAGGCATCAAAACCCTAATCCTCCTAAACTTTAAACCCTCAACTCTATGAACTTCTCAGAGGCCTGGTGGACCACACCAGGACCCAGAACCCAGAAACTTTAAAATCCAAATTGGGATTTAGGTTTAGGGTTTAGGGTGCTAGTTATTAGAGGGAGTTGGGTATTTTGTATGCCGCCCCCCCCCCCCCCCAGGGTACCTAATTCTCGATTTTCTTACGAAGAACCGCCAAGAAAACTAGATGTCCCCTTCAGTCGTCAGAGTCGCAATCTCTGGAGAAACACAAGCAAGCCCCAATGCCCAAAATACTCGCCCTCACTAGACCCTAAACCTTAAACCCAAAACCTAAACCTAAACCTAAACCTAAACCTGAACTGATAGGCTCGAAACTAGGCCGGCAGACTTCTCCGACTCCGGCTGTACTCTCAGAGAGTCCTCTCCAAAGGTAGCCATTGCAAAGGAGCTTCAGGGTTTTTTAGGGGTTTAGGTTTTTAACCTAAACCCTAAACCCTAAACCCTAAACCCTAAACCCTAAACCCTAAACCCTAAACCCTAAACCCTAAAGAACATAAATAAAGGAGTTCCAAGCTCAGCCTTCCTCGGGTGGCACGGGCGCCCCAAGTCATTTGGGGACTGGGGACTGGGGGGGGGGGGGGGGTGAAGAAGGGTTTAGGGTTTAGGGTTTAGGGTTTAGGGTTTAGGGTTTAGGGTTTAGGGTTTAGGACTCAGGACTGCTTTCTGACATCCCATCTGGGACCCTGCGAACTTTGAAGGCCTCTAAGGGTCACGAAGAGCTGCCTGGGTTGCTTAGGGTTGTGTAAAATAACCCTAAACAACCCCAAAAGACCCGAAAGAACCGGAAATAACCCTAAACCCTAAACCCTAAAGACCTAAAGCCCTAAAGCCCTAAAGTCCCAAACACCAAACCCCAAACCCCAAACCCCAAACCCCAAACCCCAAAGCCCAAACCCTAAACCCCGAATCTCCTCCACAGGCCCGTCCCAGGGAATCTTCCAGCCATCGAGCGGGGGCGTCTGGCTGTCTGACTCGTTGTGGGACCAGACCTGGAACAGTTCAAGGGCGGTTTAGGGTTTAGGGTTTAGGGTTTAGGGTTTGGGGTTTGGGTTTGGGTTTGGGCTTTGGGCTTTGGGCTTTGGGCTTTGGGCTTTGGGCTTTGGGCTTTGGGCTTTGGGCTTTGGGCTTTGGGCTTTGGGCTTTGGGCTTTGGGCTTGGGCTTTTGGGCTTAGGGCTTAGGGCTTAGGGCTCTTTTTGGGGGCTTTGGGCTTGGGCTTTGGGCTTTGGGGCTTTGGCTTTGGGCTTTGGCTTTTTGGGCTTTGGGCTTTGGCTTTGGTTTGGCTTTGGGCTTGGGCTTTGGCTTTGGGCTTTGGGTTTGGGGTTTTGGGGTTTGGGTTTGGGGTTTGGGGTTTGGGGTTTGGGTTTTGGGGTTTGGGGTTTGGGGTTTGGGGTTTGGGGTTTGGGGGTTTGGGGTTTGGGGTTTGGGGTTTGGGGTTTGGGGTTTGGGGTTTGGGGGTTAGACTTTTTTGAGGTGTTTTTTTTTTTCGGATGTGGGGGGGTTGATCTTGGTTGAACCCTAAACCATCTTGAGGGCCTTAGGCCCCACGTCTAGCATACCCCAGTAGTACTCTCAACAACCCATTTTGTCTGGCTCAACACGCAACCAGCAGGGTGGCAGAAGACAAGCCTGAACCCTTGACCTAAACCTTTCACCCCTGGGGTTCGTTTGGAGGGCAAAGGTTTGAGAGGCCCAAACCGTCAGTAGTAACAACTTGATGCATTCCAACTTCTGCTTGGCTGCAAAAGCATTTTTGCCTTGGAAGACGACGCCAACCAGCAAACCCTCCCTTCATAAACACCAAAGAAAAGTAGCTCAAAGTAACCCAATAAACAGCAAGGGTGCCCACTTTTGCTTGATGGAGTCTAGAGGGAAACTCAACCCCGAATTTCGGAGTGAGGGTACTTCTGGGTGTCTAGGAAACAGGCCCTGAGATCTATTCCAGGGCCTTACGTTTAAAAATTGCCAAACCCTAAAGACCAAACCCGAAACCGCAGAACGTGAATCTACTTTGTCATGCGCAAGGCCCTCCGGTGGCCCGTTGGGGTTCGCTCAAAACTGTGAGGGCCCTCATTTGGTGCCCGACCGCTATACGGAAGATGGGCTTACAGCTGAGGGGGTTAAGGCTAAGGATGCATGTAGGGTTTCGGACTTCATCGCTTGCATAACGAGAGGGGTTTCTCAAGGGTCTTGGGTGAGGGGTTGTAGTATGTGTGGTTGAAAGTTCTTGTGCTTCGGCGGTTTAGGGTACTTATGGACACCCACTCCGCGTAGTAGCAATGCTGCAAAGCAATGATCCTAACCCTCAACCCGAAACCCGAAGCCGCCCTCGTTCGCGGGGATTTGCCGCGCCTGTTGACCTCCCAGCTCGCGACCGAACCACCAGCCTGCATAGTTCTCGCCTGCAGGCTCCCTAAACCTTGAGGACCCTAAGCCTTACTTGGAGGTTCATGGGTAGTAGCAGGGTCATGTGTGTGTGTGTGTGTTAACTGCAAGTATAACCATATTCAGGGCACTTATCCGCCGACCCCAGCTTTGAGCGGGGGAGGCGCTAGTGAAGACCCCATGGCGTCGGCGTAACCCCGCACCTTCAGCTGACTTCCCGTCCTTCCCGCCCTTCCCGCCCTTCCCGCCCGCTCCGCCATGGCTCATGGCCCCATGGCCTCATGGTCCCATAAAGGCCCCAGTGCATGCCCGCCCCTTCCGCCCCATGCCCCTCTTCCATAAGCTGACTTTAAAGGGCCCCAGCACATCCCGCCCCCTCCGCCCTTCCCGCCCTTCCCGCCCTTCCCGCCCTTCCCGCCCGCTCCGCCCCATGGTCCCATAAAAGGGCTCCAGTGCATGCCCGCCCCCTCCGCTCTTCCCGCTCTTGCCCCCCAATGGGTCATGGCCCCATAGCCGCATCGCCCTTCCCGCCCTTCCCGCCCTTCCCGCCCTTCCCGCTCACCACCAACCCCTTCCCCTGCCCCTCCCACTACCCTTCCCCTTCCCAACCATTCCACTGTTTCAGGGCCAATCCACGCCCGGCCTGACCGCTCCCCTTACTCCACCCCTGCCTTCCACCCCCACGCCCCCCCACGCCCCCCCCACACCCCCCCCCCCCACCTACCCCACCCCCCCCCGCCCCATGCCCAGTGGTTCATGGCCACCTGGGAGAACGGGCCTCTGGCAGACCCGTTCAGCTGACTGATTTTGCTCCGCCCGCCATGGCTCACCACCAACCCCTTCCCCTGCCCCTCCCACTACCCTTCCCCTTCCCAACCATTCCACTGTTTCAGGACCCATCCACGCCCGGCCTGACCGCTCCCCTTACTCCACGCCCCAACCCCCCAAACCATTCCACTCCATCCTCCTCCCTTACCCCTTCCCCCATTCCACTCCATCCTCCTCCCCCACCCCTTCCCTCTCACCGCAACCCCTTCCCCTGCCCCTCCCACTCCCTTCCCCTTCCCAACCAGCCCCACCCCCAACCCCCCCCCCCACCCTACCCCACCCCGCCCAAGGGCTCCACCCTTCCCGCCCGCTCCGCCCATCACCCCCTTACCATCACCGTCCCCCCAACCCCCCCCCCAACCATCCTTACCCTCTCCCCCATTCCACTCCATCCTACCCCTTCCCCCGTACCCCCAATCCACCCCGCCCCTAACCCTCCCACCACCAACCACCCTGCCCCTTCCCAACCATTCCACTCCATCCTCCTCCCCTACCCCTTCCCCACTCAATCAGGTGGCTGACTTTAAAGACTGACTTCAAAGGCTCCGCCCCCCACCCCCCTTCCCACCCCACCCCCCCCCCACCCCCCTATCCCCCCCACCCCCACCCACCCCCCCCCCCCCCCCCACCCCACCCCACCCCATCCACCCCACCCCCCCCCCCACCCCCCCCCCCCCCCCAACTCTCCCCCACTCCCCCCAACCCCCCCAACCTCCCCCCCAGCGGCCCCCCACCCCCCCACCCCCCCACACTTCCCCTGCCCCTCCCACTACCCTTCCCCTTCCCAACCATTCCATTCCATGAAATTTAGGATTTCGGGTTTAGGGTTTAGGGGTTCGGGTTTAGGGTTTAGGGTTTAGGGTTTAGAGTTAGGAGTTTAGGGGTTTAGGGTTTAAGGTTTAGGGTTTAGGCGTTTAGGGTTTAGGGTTTAGGGTTTCGAGTGGCCTTGTTCCAGTTCAAGTTGAGGAGATGCTTGGCCGACAGATATTGCACAGCGGTCGCGGATGGCCTCTCAGCACACTACCGACTAAGCCCTCCTAATGCCCTTGAAACCCTGAACGCTCAACCCTAAGCCCTAAACCCTAAGCCCTAAACCCTAGGCCCTAAACCCGAAACCCTAAACCCTAAACCGTAGACCGCTCACTCTCCTCCTGCCTCTGCGAATTCGTCGAAAGATGGCCTGCCATCCTTGTTCTTGTCCGGTTTGCGCGGAGCATCAGGTTGAGGGGTCGGCGGCACTGGCGGTAGCCATTAAATCGGGCAGCGCGAGGTCCCCAAAGGACCGAGCAAATGCGGACCTTTTAGCCCGGGTCGTCCCGGGAATAGCCTTGCTGGCCTCTGGCCTTCTGCGAAGCAGAATTAGGCCGGACGCCAGTGCCGCCGACCCCCGCGTGCCGCCGGTGAACGGTTTTTTTTTCGTGGTTTTTTGCGTCGCCATGGAGGCCCCCAGAGGGCGCGCATCATGAGCATCAGCGGGTCCAGCCCGCGACCCCCAGGCGCGCATCAGGAGCATCAGCGGCTCCCGGGGCGGGACCCCGGGGGCGCATCAGGAGCATGATGCCCCCCTAAGGGCGGGCATAAGCGACGTGTCTCAGCCCGGGGCTAGGAAAAAGGGAGTTTAGGGGCCTTGTAAAGTGCTTAGAAACTTTAAGGGAGTCTAGGAGCCTCAAACGCTTAGAGATTTGAAGGGAGTTTAGGGGCCTCAAAATGCTTAGAAACTTTAAGGGAGTTGAGGAGCCTCAAACGCTTAGAGATTTCAAGGGAGTTTAGGGGCCTCAAACTGCTCGCCCCGCGCTTCTGCCTGCGCTGCCCGCCCATGGGCGCAGCCCCTTAAAATAATACCTCCCAGGGAGGGTTCTGGCGTCTGAGTTCTCTTGGGATTTTGAGGGGCAGAGCCTAAGGACAAGTCCTTCTGCACGTCCAGAAGACCTCTTATGTGTACATTCGGCTCTTGGGGTTATTTACAATTGTAGCCCACGGCGGTTATAGTAGTAGTGATATATGGGCTATTATTCTATTACAAGCGTAGCTCTCATCCTCCCAAGCACTCTCCCTTAGGCCCATGAGGCAGACATGCTCACGAGGCCGCTCTGAAAGAGACAGCTGCGCCAAGCAAAAGAGCCCACGTTCAAGAAAACCCTGTAGGCACCGCGACGACAAGCCCAAACCCTCAACCCTAAAACCCTCAAACCCTCAACCTTACAAACCCTAAACCTCTAAACCCCTAAAAACCCTCAAACCCTCATACCCTCAAACCCTCAACCCTAAAAACCCTCAACCTTACAACCCAGGGACCTCGGCTCCTCCATCCCTTTTCTTTTCATCTCTGGGGCTAAACTCAGGATCTTCCCCTTGGGCCACTGGCCATCGGAGTCATCCCAGTAGTACAGGATGATGTCAACCTGTTATAGGCCCAGAGGGTGCATTTGCATTACTATTATGGAATTAGGTACCCCAAAACCCTATTTAGTATGGAATTAGGTACCCCAAAAACCATACTAAATAGGGTTTTTTGGGTACCTAATTGCATAATGGTAATGCAAATGGACCCTCTGGGTAGGGTTCTTCAGGGAGGGGGGGGGGTTCAAGGGGCGTTCAAGGGTGTGCGGCTTAGGGTTGAGGGTTAAGGGGGGGTTCAGGGGGAGGCGCCCGAAGCTTTGCTAGGTACCTCCACCCCATGAACCCCCCTAACCCTAAACCCTAAACCCTAAACCCTAAACCTGGCCGTGGGGCGGCTTGCTGGGTCAGCGGGTTTTGCTACTAGGTTCGCCATCCTTGAAGTTCTCTAAATATCTTACCATATATAGGTTTGTTTAACTCTTAAAGTAGGGCCCTGACAAAATTCCCTCCTCCTGCTGAAGGCTCGAACTCCTCTCCAACCAAGCAAGATACCGAGGAGCCTAAGTTAGGGAATCCGAAGCATGGGCCCTAAATTTGGATCCCCTGCTAGATTACCCTTCTATACACTATACAACCCTAAACCCTAAACCCTAAACCCTAAACCCTAAACCCTAAAGGGTCTAACTAAGGGCCCACGATCCGTTCCGAGCGTAGATAAGTAGCTGCCACAGGAGTTTGGGGCTTTAGGGCTTTAGCCCAGGAGTTTAGGGGTTCGGGTTTAGGGGTTTAGGGTTTAGGGTTTGGGGTTTGGGGTTTAAGGTTTAGGGTTTAGGGTTTAGGGTTTAGGGGTTCAAGCTTCATACACTTCATCCCTTCAGCTTCTGCATAAAGCGCACTCGTAACCTGCCCAAGATCCAGGTTCTACGTAAAGACTGGGGTAGGTTTGTGGGCCCGAAAAAACTTGAGTTTTTATGGTTTTCCAATGATTATAAAGGAGATTCAGGGTACTAAAAATGAGAAATTCTTGTTCAAACCGAACCCCGCAGAGGGGCTGCCTTTCATCCTAGGTTCCTGAGAAGGACCCTCTTAAACCCAATCAAGGGTTTAGGGTTTAGGGTTTCGGGTTTCGGGTTTCGGGTTTAGGGTTTAGGGTTTAGGGTTTAGGGTTTAGGGTTTAGGGTTCAAATATGAAAGGTCCCAAGGGCCGCCCTTTTCTTTCATCACACCCACACGCACGCACGGGAGCCTCGGTGGAACTCTTGGCTTCTCTTCGGTACACCTTCCGTCCGCAGCACATGGTCTCCTTGGGACTTTTTTCAGGGTTTAGGGTTTAGGGTTTAGGGTTTAGGGTTTAGGGTTTAGGGTTTAGGGTTTAGGGTTTAGGGTTTAGGGTGCAGAGACCCCAACCTTTTAGGGGTATCTTAAGGGGAACCTTTAGGGGTGCGAGCCTGAATCCCTTGAAACCTTTAGACCCTAGACCGTACTATGAGTCCAAGGGTAGTTTCATGGGCCCTTAGTATGGTCCTTTGCCTCCTTTAAAAGGTTCTGAAGTATGGGCCCTTGGGTTGCATAGGGTATATAAGGGGCATATAAGGGCTCTCCTTTGGGGAGTAGGGTCCTTAAACTTAACTTCATCGGTTCTGGTGACAGTCGCAGCAATCACGTGGCATCATTCGCACAGAAGGTGTTCACCGTGTTCACCCTAAACCCTAAACCCTAAACCCTAAACCCTAAACCCTAAACCCTAAACCCTAAACCCTAAACCCTAAACCCTAAACCCTAAACCCTAAACCCTAAACCCTAAACCCTAAACCCTAAACCCTAAACCCAACGGGGGCGCTGACGTAGCGGCTGCGTCCCCTGCGCTCTGTTGGCCCTCAGCGGCGCGCTGGGCTTGAGGCGCATCATCTACCGTCAGGTCTTAGGGTTTAGGGTTTAGGGTTTAGGGTTTAGGGTTTAGGGTTTAGGGTTTAGGGTTGGCTGCCAAGAAGGTAGCGCCGGCGACGCGGGCCAGGTGACCCTGGAACCTCGGGCGTCTCCTGCCTGAGGGGTCGACGAAGATACGAAGTAGCAGTCAATGCCGACCGCCTAAACCCTCGACGTCAACGACTTTGCAGAATTTATGACGAGGGAAGGCCACAAGGCGCCAGGAGCTGAGGCTTTATCCCAGGGTGTGGCCAGGGCTTAGGGTTTAGGGTTTAGGGCTTAGGGCTTGGGGCTTAGGGCTTAGGGCTTATGGCTTAGGGCCTTGGGCTTAAGGTTTAGGGTTTAGGGTTTCTTCATTGCTTACTAGCCCAGTAACCCTATTTTAGTAAGGGCACCCCTTTTTGGGTTGGTTACTTTGTAAGGGAACCAAGAACCAACAAAAGGGTAAAGGGTACCACTGGGCTACCAAGCTAAAGGATCAGGGGACTTCGTACGTAGGGTTTAGGGTTTAGGGTTTAGGGTTTAGGGTTCAGGGTTCAGGGTTCAGGGTTCAGGGTTCAGGGTTCAGGGTTTAGGGTTAGGGCAACTATAGTTACAACTACTTCTGACCCCAATTAGGGTACTTCTAACCCTACTTACTAGGCCCCAAGATCCTCCAAGTAGGATTAAGGGGTTTAGGCTTCAGCGGTCTGAGGTTGATTGGACATTCTTGCTTTCAGACCCTTCCCCCCCCTTCCCCCCCTCCCCCCCCTAAACCCTAAACCCTAAACCCTAAACCCTAAACCCTAAACCCTACACCCTACACCCTAAACCCTAAACCCTAAACCCTAAACCCTAAACCCTAAACCCTAAACCCCTAAACCCTAAACCCTACACCCTACACCCTACACCCTAAACCCTAAACCCTAAACCCTAAACCCTAAACCCTAAACCCTAAACCCTAAACCCTGCACCCAGCGGCCGAAGCAACGTAGGTGCCGCAGATGCTCTTCAGCGTCATGAACCCCCGCACCGAGCTGCCTTTCCCAGCTACGTTTAGGGTTTAGGGTTTAGGGTTTAGGGTTTAGGGTTTAGGGTTTAGGGTTTAGGGTTTAGGGTTTAGGGTTTAGGTTACCGACTGTGGATGGCCCCTAATATGCTCTTAAACCTTCACTATTGGTGTATATGAACCGGGTATAGGGTGGATTTTTTTTAGATAGAGAAGAAGGTCTAAAACTCTTTGTAAAGATGTATATGCATATGTATTGTCATTACAGCTCTTTCTTGCTTTTATAGGTATAAGCACAGTTGTGTTGAGCTACTGAGGTACCTCACGCAAGCCCAAGGACTGTGAACGGACTGAAGCCCAGGAAGTCCCAAGCGGATCCACTGCCGCAGGCTAAACCTTCTCAGCTGTCAATCCTTTCTGTTTAGGGTTTAGGGTTTAGGGTTTAGGGTTTAGGGTTTAGGGTTTAGGGTTTAGGGTTTAGGGTTTAGGGTTCAGGGTTCAGGGTTTAGGGTCTGGGGTTTAGGGTTTAGGGTTTGGGGGTGTAGGGTTTAGGGGTCATGCTATTGACTTTTCTTACGCGGGGGTTTAGTATGCTACCCCGAAGGGGAAGCAGCGTTGAGGCTTCCGTTACTACCTACATCCAAAGACCTCAACCCTCAATCGTATACTTGGACTTGCTTAAGAAACCCCCATCGATCGCTCATATTCTACAGGGTTCCTTACTGCTAACCCGAGACCAACAACCCACAACTAACGAATGCACACCGAACTCTACAGAGTCCTTGTGAACAAGGTGTACGCTTTAATTGCGGTTGACCTTTAGGACGGCAAAAGCTTCACACTGCCCCGCGGCTAAAGGTCATTACTCGCCTATCAAGCTGAGCTTTGTGGAGAGTCTTTGGGTTCCAAGGGTTCAGGGTTCAGGGTTCAGGCTTTAGGGATTAGGGTTTAGGGTTTAATGTTGGACCTGCTGTAATCATCTAAACCCCCCCCCCCCCCAATTGATCCGTAGCCGATGTTGGAAAGGGCTCGGGGGGTTTAGGGCAGCTTGAAGAGAGTTCAGGCAGCAATTGGCCCATCAATCTTTGGCATGCAAAATTAGGCCCTAAACCCTAAACCCTAAACCCTAAACCCTAAACCCCAAACCCCAAACCCGTAAAACCTGAAGCCTAAAGCCTAAAGCCTGCACCCTAAACCCCTGCCTCCTGCTGATGCGACGAAGCGCTCCTTCCATCACATCGTGAGACCCCAAACCCTAAACCCTAAACCCTAAACCCTAAACCCTAAACCCTGAACCCTGAACCCTAAACCCTAAACCCTAAACCCTAAACCCTTGCACGTGCTACCCAATATGAAGCCCGAGTCTCTAAGAAACATTCACCATACAGGCAGTTTCCTAAATCAGGGTCCCGTTTTTGGTACCCATTCTAAGGCGGCACCCTTTTAAAAAAGGGATCCCAAAAAGGACCCTAATTTAGAGAACTACCCATACCCCAAACCACTCCTTAACCTATATGAAGGGAATCATATAAGGGAGTCTAAAGGAGGATTGTACCATACCCCTCTTAATTTCCTGGGGTATGCCCTTGGGATATGTTGAATATTTCTTAGAGAGTCAGAAAGCTCTCCTAGCTCCTCCTCCCAGGCACCAAACCCCCCTACCCCTAACGCGGAACGCGGGAAGCTCCAGGCCCGAAATAGGTAGTCACAAAATTCGCCTCAGCTTCCTGCCAAGTTTTTTGGCTTTTTTGGGGTGGGACGCTGCTGGAAGACCCCTCCTAGGAGCCCCCCTGACCCCCCTGGGACCTCCCTGGGACCTGCCTTGGGAGCCCTTTCCTCCTTTCCTGTCCGTGGGCCGGCCCGGCTGCCGAGGCTGTGCGCGCAAGCGTTTACAATTAATACCCCTAAGCCCTGAGCCCCAAGCCCTACGATTCCCTAAGCCCTAAGCCCTAAGCCCTTATTAGCCCTTATAAGCCCTAAGCCCTAAGCCCCAAGCCCCAAGCCCCAAGCCCCGAGCCCCAAGCCCTAAGCCCCTAAGCCCTAAGCCCTAAGCCCTAAGCCCTAAGCCCTAAGCCCTAAGCCCTAAGCCCTGAGCCCTGAGCCCTAAGCCCTAAGCCCTAAGCCCTAAGCCCTAAGCCCTAAGCCCTAAGCCCTAAACCGGAACCGCCGAAAAGCCTGCATTGCAGATTTTAAAATCAGAGCCCTGAACCTCTCAACCTCTAACCCCCCAACCCCCCCCCCCCCCCCCCCGCCCCCCCAAGCCACCAAACCCCTGAACCTCTAAAGCTGCCTCAAACAGAGGCCTTTAAAGGCTTGGGGTCTTCAGGTATTCAGGGCATTTTGCGCACTAAGGGTATTATTTGGGGAATTTAGAGGTTAGGGCTTAGGGTTTAGGAACCCAATTCAGCCCAACTAAACCAACTAACCCCGAGTCACCCGGAAGCCGGCGTAGAAAGACCACGGCTTGAGAACCCATCTGCCTCAATAGCATGATCACGCAGTATGCCCTAAACCCTAAACCCCATTACATAAGTTCAGTTTTGTAGAGTTCAGTGCTTAGGGCATTTAGGGTTCAGGGGTCAAAAAAACCGAAGTCCTGAAACCCTAAAGCCCTCCCTCAGGCCCCAAAACCCTGGAGCCCCAAACCCTAAACCCTAAACCCTAAACCCTAAACCCTAAACCCTAAACCCTAAACCCTAACCCCTAAACCCTAAACCCTAAACCCTTAACCCTAAACCAAAGAGCTCAGCCGTGCGGCTGCGGGTGGCGCGTGAGACTTCGCCTCGGTTCTGAAAGCCCCTGGTTTAGGGTTTAGGGTTTGGGGTTTAGGGCTAGGGTTTAGGATGTAGAGGATCAGGAGACTTAGTCTACTTGGAAAGCCCTGGTTTAGGGTTTAGGGTTTAGGGCTAGGGTTTAGGAGGATCATGGGACTTAGTAAGTAGGAAGTGATGAGTCCCATAATTGGGGTTAGAAGTAATTGTAACTATAGCTGCCGGAATTAAGTCCCCTGATCCCTAAACCCTAAACCCTAAACCCTTTAAAGTAAGAGGGGGTCTGCTTAGGGCTTAGGGGGGGGGCGCATCCTCAAGAGTCACCAGAGGTTTTAGAGAGGCCTTTAGGGCTTTTGGGGCTTCTAGGGTTTTATGGCTTTGGGTTTAGGGTTTAGAGTTTAGGGTTTAGGGTTTTGGGCTTTTGGGCTTTAGGGCTTAGGGCCTTAGGTTTTAGGATTCAGCGCTGCGTTCGGAGCCCCCGCTCTTCCTGGGAGCTGTTGAGAAACATGCTTAGGTCAAGTTCTCACAATACGGGGTCTAAGTTGTCGCCCATAGGGGATATATGGGTGTTTACGAAAATCAGGGATCCCCTAATACAGTCCCTCAAAGAGTAGGATTCCATTATAGTTACCCCCCATAATAAGGTACCCCTAATGTCGTCAACCTCCATATGAGGGTTTCCCAAAATAGGGGTACCCTGATAGATGTTCATCGCGTGGCAGGCGTCTGCCATGTCGGAAACCCTCTGAACTCCTCAATGGAATCCTTTCCGGCTTCCCTCGTGCAGAAGGCTGAACTTCAGGGCCAAAAGTGCGGGAGCGCGGACTTCTCCGCAAAGCAGAAGCGATTTGGCATGGAACGAGAATCATGTGGCTGCGCTGCAGAATTTTCCGGGAGCCTTCATTATGTGGTTGTGAACTTGACGGGTGAGTGGACGGCAGCCGGACCCCCATATAATCCTTGTTATAGGAACCCCCCAAAAGGGCACCCCTCCAATTTTGGGAAACCCCCGCATATACCTTTGTATATATGTATATTTATATACACACATATGGTCACTTCTCTAAAATATGGTTTCTTTTGGGGTCCTTTTTATAAGGTGGCCCCTAATACTTGAGGTACCCAGAAAGGGACCATAATTTCGGGAACTGACCATATACGACATGTGTTTGGATATAGTGATCACTACATTTTCGACAGCTACCAAGGCAAGGCCCGGGCCCGGAGACCAGCACCGAACCCCAAGTCTGTCATCTTGAGTAGGTAGGGTTTAGGGTTTAGGGTTTAGGGTTTAGGGTTTAGGGTTTAGGGTTTAGGATTTAGGGTTTAGGGTTTATGGCTTAGGTTTTAAGGCTGTCCCAAGTCTAACACCCCCAAGCCCTACATCCCAGAAGGGTTTCAAGGACCCGGGACCCGCGTCGAGGGTTGAAAGCTGCCCCAAAACCCTACTCTGGGTTGGCCTTTAAACACCCTGAAAAATGTTTATATATAGGGTCCCTTATAAACCCAAAGAGGAAAATATAAAATGTCCCAAAATCCAACCTAGTACTGTACTTATAAGCCCCTCTAAGTCCTCTAAGTAGGTTACAAGTAGACTTAGAATTGCGGTTAGAAGTACCGGTGAACCTCCAAGCAAGCCTTTGAAGGACCACGCAAACAGCACAGGAGACCTACAACTGTTCATACACAAATCGTCGGTACTACTGGCCCAGAGGGTCCATTTGCATTACTATTCTGGAATCAGGTACCCAAAAACCATACTAAATAGGGTTTTGGGGGTACCGAATTCCACAAAGGTAATACAAATGGACCCTCTGGGTGGGCTCTCAGCCTGGGACACCAACTTCATCCAGAGCCAACGTTCATACCGAACCCAAAACCTAGTGAATCCTAGTAGGGAATTATAGGTACCCTATAGGAATGTTTAGGGGCTATACCGGGGGAAGTGAGCTACCTATTTTTTTTGGATTATGAAGGTAAGAGAAACCCCAAAACCCCTCGCCTCCTCAACCCCCAATTGCTGGAAGGTAGCTTGATGAACAGCTGCTACTTGGAGGTTCATGGGTAGCTTAGAGCTGGGATTATACGCGGGGGTTACCGGTAGTTTGAGTAATAGCTGGAGCCATGACCCTGCAAGTAGCCAGGCGCGAAAAAAAAAAAGTCCTGACGAGCTTAGGGAGCTGACTGCTGATGATGCAGCTCCCGAAGAGCTAGCCCTAAACCCTCAACCCTCAACCCTCAACCCTCAACCCTAAACCCTAAACCCTAAACCCTGAACCCTGAACCCTAAACCCTAAACCCTAAACCTGTATCAAGTCCTGCCAGTGCCATCCCCTTCGCCCCCCGCAATTCTGTCCCGAAGTTGTGCTTTTGAGGCCGGCGGCTGGCGCGACGGACGGCGCGATGGCCGGCGAGGCAGCTGTCGATGCCATCGACTGGGCAGGAGGCTTTGGGGGGAAGGGGGGGGGGGGTGTTAGATTAGGGTTCATGGATTTAGGGTTTAGGGTGACCCTGAACCCTAAGTTATCTAAATCAGGGATTGTTGAACAATGAAGCTGAGGGACTTGGGGTGGGAACCTCCCCACAAAACAACAGCCTCCAAGCCCCTAAAAACCCAAAAGCCCTAACACCCCCAACCTCAACCCAGGTTTTCAGGGCCGAGGGGCTAAAGGTTCGAGGGTTTCAACCTCGAAGGTTTCAGGGAGCTTGCGGTCTTGGCCCTCAACCTTCCACAGACC